AATATGCTATGCGCAACCCTTTAATATTTAATCCATCTTTTACCATAACCGTTGTATCTGATTAAACATCTGTCAATAGTAGAGCTGTACAACAACAATAAATAACATCTAACAATAAATATACAGACAGAACCACATAGAAACATACTGATGTGGCAAAATCAATAATTAAACAGAGCATCACGTTAAGAGACACCAGATTCCAAATTGTATTAAAAAAAGATTTATTTCTTGCAAAAAAGTTCCCAGTCAACCATTCAGTCCAGCTGTAGGCGGAGTGAGACAGAGAGCAGGGGGTTGCTAGCACTCTTTATACTATTCTTTTCAAAGAACTTTATGACTACTTTTAATGACCAGGGGGTCTTCTCACCTCAGAGGTGTCTGCCCAACCACCTGCTGAGTGCCTCACACACACTCTCCAGCTGCATACACACAACAACAGAAACACAAGAGGCTCTCTGTTCTGGTATTCAGGAATACAGAGATCATATGGTATTTTCAATGCAATGTCCATTAATCAGCCAATATTAAAATTTCCACTACAATACAAACAACCAAAACAACATACAAACACACACACTTATGCAAACCCCACTTGTCAACATTTATCAGTCCCTCCAGAAAAACGTGATTATGCGATCGCTGAATTCAATGCAAAATCAGCCAAAGTCCGCATATTTATGCGGGGGCCGCATTTTTTCAAATACACCGCACTTTCGCCGCATAAATTGCCGATTTCTGTGCAAAATATGCGGGGTTTGCGTGATTTCATAATCCTCGCATTTTCGTTGCAAAAAAATCACATATATCTAAGCAGAAAGTTGAAAAATTTTGCGTTTGCTTCACACAAGAGCAGCAATTTCCCCGTTTCCATGGGAACGTTATGAAGTGACGCAATTACGCGACGGATAAAGCTCACAGCTGAAGTTACTGCAGAGGCCAGACAGACTCACGGAGGCGATTGACATCTCACAAATCGAACTCGTATAACTGTCTGTCACACGTTCTACCGTCACATCGTTACTAAGATGAAACAAGTTGCATCAAACAGAAATTACCCGCACACATGGGGTGTTCGAGGCGCACATATAACACTTCAACAGGGAGCGCGCAGCTCTTAAAGGGGCCACACCTTATACTCGTTACAGTCTGAAATAAAACAAGATGAGAAATTAAATATTCCCATTACTTTCTATGATGTAGTATGCCTGCTTATCAAAGGAAGTAATAAGAAATGACTCTTTACATTAAGGTAGTAGCCTAGTGAGAACAGGATGTTGGGGGAATCACTTTTTTTTTTCACTTTTTCATCAAACCGCAGTTTTTGCAAGTTCCCGCAATTTCATCGCATAAAATTGCAAAAATGTCCTGCATATTCCATCGCATTTTTAAAGAAAACGGGCCGTGTAATCAAGGCTTTTTGCCCGCAACAATCACAAAAAAAATGCGTTTTTCTGGAAGGACTGATTTATGAGCAAAACCAATTGGCAGCCATGCCAACAGCGTTCCCACAGCGGTCTTGGCCAAGGCCAGTGCTGGTTGAGGGCGACCGAAAACAGATAAGATTGGGATTATTTGGTCTTGGGGTGAAAAACCGCATTCAATTTACACGGCTAATTCTCATGGTCTTTGGTCTCCAAACAATCCATATCCTTCTGCAAATCTGAGAAGCTCACAGCTTATATGGATCGTTTCTGAGACCAACATGGACCTTAAGATTAGCCGTGTAAATTGAATGGGGCTTCTCACCCCAAGACCAAACAATCCCAATCTTATCTGTTTTCCTCAACCTCAACCAGCACTGGCCTTGGCCAAGACCGCTGCTGGATCAACAACTCCCCCGGAAGAGCACTGCAGTGAGCCGCTCTTGCGTTTCTTCCCCGACTCCACAGACACCTGGTGATTGTTGACTCTGTCTGGCACCTGATCAAGGTTTTCTCCATGGTAACTTGCTGTGTATCGCTATGACAATCCTGCGGACTGAGGCGCCTAGATTATGATGCCAGGCATAGCGACTCTCCAGGCCTACACACACACAAACTCTTACACATATATACAGATATGCAATCACCCGCCCCACACCCCATCCCTCGCCTCGCTTTGTACCCCCAGTCTGACAGGCGGGTCTGTGACCAGCGTCCCGTACCTGTGGTCCGTCCCCCACTCCCCAACATTGTTGCAAGTTTTGTTCATGTTGTACTGATTGTGCTAATGTTGCTGAGGTGTTTTTTTCCGGTTCCCACAATGCACTCCTTAAGCCTAGTTCACACTACGTGATTTTAAGCCCGATTTAAGCCCGATTTGCAAATCGTTGAGTCGCCGACAAGTCAGGGTGTTATCGCGTGCAAATCGCGGGCGATTAGCGGACGATTAACGCTCGCCAATCCGATAGTGTGAAAGAGCCAACAACGCATCAAAGACAGCTCGCAGACAGCTCGCAGACAGGTCACCGAGCTCAGAAAAATATCTAGCATGCTAGATATCTCGAGCAGTCGCGCGACTCAATCTCAGTGATGTCATGAGTACAGCCAATCATAGCAACGCATGGGTTGAGGACACCAGGTAAATCTTACTTTTTCTTTTCTTTTTTGCATTTTTTTTTCTCAGAGCAGATCGTCGAGCAAACAGTGTGTAGCACTAGTTTCTGTCTGACGTCCATATTCGCGTGTTGTGTTCTCTGCAGTTTCGCGTCATTTCTGGTTCGTTTTATTGCGTGGTTTTTCGTGACAAAACATGGTTTCTAGACCAGATAGAATCGTGTTGTTGTCAACTCGTTATTTGTTTGATTATTTTCAGGATTTAGACCGTACTGTACTGAAACAGCTCTCATTGAGTCACAAATGATATGCTCTTATCATCCGATCGTGGTTGTATCTCTATGTAGTGCGTTGTTAACTCGTGTAGTGAGTCACCTCCTGTTGTGGATCAATCACGTTGTGTTGTGTGGTGTGAACAGGTAAACAACTTGAACACTCATGATTTCACTGAGAGCAAGTCATGTAGTGTGAACTGCACAGTTCAGCCTGACATTTTAAAATCATGTAGTGTGAACTAGGCTTTACAGGAGGATAGTCTGGGGGTTTCTTTCTCCTCACCTCTCCTCATGTCATGCTGTATTTTCCTCAATTCCCTGTCTTCCTGTCCGCATATATGTTTGTATGGGCAGGTTGATGGTCAATTTCGCTGGTACTTGTGACCAAGTGACAAAGTTCGTTCCATCTCCAGACATAAACATAAAATTATTTTCACATTACTCTGCGGTAACGAATACATAAACAAGCTTATAGTCATTTAGTTATTATGAACATTCAGTTGTACAGTCTCACAAAATTCTTCGTGCTACCTCTTATCGAACCTCTTCCTTGTCTTGATTTTCCAACTCAGGCTCTATGACCGTCTTTAGATATGTCTCTGCAGCTAGATGGTTGGAAAACTTTTTCGTATCTCCTTTGAAAGTCAGAATCAAGGTAGCAGGGTGAATTATGCCATGCTTAACTCCACGTCCAGAAAACTCGCTCGTATTTTAGATACGATTGCAGGGAACTACACTGCGACATGCAACCTTTTGAAATCCCATTGTGACCCTAATTTTTTATGGGTCGCAAATGTATCACTGACTATTTTGACGGGTCGTTTTTTTGGGGTTTTTTTGTGTTTTTTTTGTTTCTTTCGGGTTGTATTTAATCTTCTAAAACCTGTCGGATCGTCCGCTTTTTGTCCCGCCAAAGCCTTTTTGATCGGCGAGTGTTGTATAATAGAATGACTGATGCGTTTGACCGGGCGCTAACGAGCTGAGAGAGAGAGAGCGCGCGCACTATCACGTCTTCATACAACATAAGCGCTGTCTTGCATGCTGTCTCTCTCATGATAGGACATGATAGTAAAAGGTTTGTGTCTTTATAATAGGCATGCTAATCACAATCATATAGGCTACCATCTGGGCCTGCATGGCGGCAGGAAAAAGACGCAGAGATGTAAGTCTCTACCTTGCGATGGTTTGGTACACCAAGGCTGATAAACTCTGCCATGGAGAGTAAAATTTGTTATTTCGTTTTTTGTCCAAAACCCACTTTTGCGAACTAGTCCCTGTTTTTTTGCCCAATACTATTCTCTGGACTCTCTAGATAAATAATTATCGAAAAAAAGTAGAACTTTTGCTTTTGATTGGCTTTAACAGAGTCGTTTACAAAAGAGGGGGGACAAAATGCACCCAAAATCATATAAATCCTAAAGGAAAACTCTTTTGCTCTTTTATATATGCTCATCAGAAATTGAAACATGCCGAAGAAGCATGCACAGTTTCATGGAGATCGGACCATAGGTGGCACTATAACTGTTAAAAAGCTGTAAAACCATGCATTTCCAATGTTAAATTGCCTGTATTGATTGTAAATGGTGTTTTACATCTATTATGTCTGTGGATAAATGCATGTTAAATAAAATTGAATGCCTTTCGATGCGTTTGTGCTTAAAGGCCTGGACTGCTTGAACACCGATAAATGCTGCTTGCAGCTTTAATAATTAAAACGTTTTTGTATAATAGTTATAAAGTTGGTGTCTAAATATTTTAATGTTAATATTATGTTAGATGATTGTGTCATTGCTAAAGAAACATGGGATTTGTGCCTATAATGTTTTAAAAATTATAATTGGAAGATAAATTTAGCTCATTCATGGCAACTTTCAAGGACATGTAATCAATTAATAAAAAGACATGAAGTTATCATAATATTTTATAACAGTTGTCTACTTTCTACCATTACATCAGGGCTCACTTTCATGTAATAATTGTTTCATTCCTGTCAGACCCGATGGAAGAGAGCGAGGAGAGTGAAGAACTGAGTGAAGTGGAGGAGGAACATCATGTCCAACCTGGAGGAAAACCTTCGAGTCGCTCAAAGACTAAACAGACATTTTTAAAGAAAAGAAGAGCCGAGAAATCTTTCACCTGCACTCAGTGTGGAAAGAGTTACACATATAAAAGTGAACTGAAGATTCACATGATGATCCACACTGGAGAGAGGCCGTTCTCATGTGATCAGTGTGGGCAGAGTTTCAGTCAATCATCAAGCCTTAACGTTCACATGATGATCCACACTGGAGAGAAGCCGTTCTCATGTGATCAGTGCGGCAAAACGTTTCTTAGGGCATCACACCTGAAGACACACCTGATGGTTCATACGAAGGAGAAGCCGTATTCATGTTCTTTGTGTGGAAAGAGTTTCTCACAGAGTCAATCTGTACGTAGACATGAGAAAACTCACACTGGTGTGAAAGAATACATGTGCTTTGAGTGTGGGAAGACTTTTACTGCAGAAAAAAGTTTAAAGGTGCACCAGAGAATTCACACTGGAGAAAAACCTTACAAGTGTTCACACTGCGACAAGAGATTCAATCAGGCAGGAAATCTGAAAACACATGAGATGAACCACACTGGAGAGAAACCGCACACGTGTGATCAGTGCGGGAAGAGTTTCTCTTCTAAAGTTGACCTGAGAAGGCACATGATGATCCACACTGGAGAAAAACCTTACAAGTGTTCACACTGCGACAAGAGATTCAATCACTCATCACATCTGAAAAGACATGAGAGGATCCACACTGGAGAGAAGCCGCACACGTGTGATCAGTGTGGGAAGAGTTTCTCTTGTAAAAGTGACCTGATGATACACATGAGGATCCACACTGGAGAGAAGCCGTATGAATGCCATCAATGCGGGAAGAGTTTCACATCCAAAAATTCTCTTAACGATCACATGATGATCCACACCGGAGAGAAGAAGTTCACATGTCATCATTGTTGCAAAATGTTTCTTAGGGCATCAGCGCTGAAGACACACCTGGAAGTTCATACGAAGGAGAAGCCGCATTCATGTTCTGTGTGTGGAAAGAGTTTTTCACAGCTGCAATATTTACGTGGACATGAGAAAATCCACACTAATGAAAGCGAGTACATGTGCATTGAGTGTGAGAAGACTTTTACTACAGCAAACAGTTTAAAACGGCACCAGAGGATCCACACTGGAGAAAAACCTTACAAGTGTTCACACTGTGACAAGAGATTCAGTCAGTCAGTAAATCTGAAAACACATGAGAGGATCCACACTGGAGAGAAACCACACACGTGTGATCAGTGCGGGAAGAGTTTCTCTTTTAAAAATAACCTGAAGCTACACATGAGGATTCACACTGGAGAAAAACCTTACAAGTGTTCACACTGCGACAAGAGATTCAGTCACTCGGTAAATATGAAAACGCATGAGATGGACCACACTGGAGAGAAACCGTACACGTGTGATCAGTGCGGGAAGAGTTTCTCTATTAAAACTCACCTGAAGCGACACATGAAGGTCCATGTAGTGGATAAACCACTGAAACACAGTCTGAAATCACGCTAAGATGGTTTTCATGTGATGAACAACAAAGTCTCTTCTGTGTAAGTTAGCCACATCACCTGATAGCCACATCTCTCCTCTCCACCTATAGTTGGTGTGTGGTGAGCACAGGACATTTTGTTGATTGATTGATATCTATTAGCTTGTGTTCAACTGACAGGAATGACTGTTATATTTTAGATATATTTGGCAAATTGTTATCTGCTCAATTCCAGATGTTCTGATCAATAAGATACCACCGGTTTTAATGACGGGCACCATTGTGCAGTCAATGTATCAAAATGAGCCTGAGAGTGAAATCTTTCAAATCTTTTAACTTTTTGAGAGTATTCTGGAATTAAAGTGTAAATCTCCTTGAATTAATGCTTATAAATGCAGGGTGTGTGTACAGCCATCACTCGTGTGGTGCTTCTCCAGCACAAAATACATTGTGAGGTAGCTGTGTTATTTAGAAAACCACACTGTGCCAAACTGAACAGATTCTGTGATTCCTGTCACAAAACAGGCCATACAGAGGAAAAGTGCTGGTCATTGGGCAGCGGCAGACCTAAACCCTATTTCATAAGAGAGAGCCCGACCGATAAAGCATTTTGATGGCCGATACCGATACAAATATTTGTTGGTTTTAAAATCCGATATATCGGCCGATAATTATATATTTTTTTACATTTCAGAAACGCGCAACAAAACATTAACAGATTTTGCTAACATTAGTTATTTGTATGAGTTTTAACTAAAATAATATGATAATTCATTTTGCTTCTTTTGTCACAACAGAACAGACTGATGATAGTGGCATTAGCTAGCTTTGTGGTTAGCTAGTCTATGATGAGCCATAATTTAGCAATGGATAACGTAAAACCTAAATTGAAAAACATGCATTTTCAATATAACAGGCCAAGGAGAGATGATGCGTCTCATTGCTATAACTGTCACGCGCTATTAAAGAAATACTTGTCAAAAGTTAAAAGGACAGTCAGTCAACTACACTGTAACGTAACTATTACTAGCTAATTCCGCTTCACTCTCGGCTTATTTAACAGCAGCAAAACTGGACATGATGGTCACAAATTTTGTCATGCTTATTTGAGTTAAGTGAACTGATGGGGATGATCTTTTAATTGTTATTCAAACAATGTATGTCTCGTGACCAATTAGCCTTTCGCCGAGCCCCGCCCCCCTTAGTTACTGTTGATACCTCCGTCAAACACGGGCAGCGCGACAGATTGCCATGACGGCAAAGGGTATTCCCGTGCGTGTCGGTGACCTTTTTTGGAGCAATACCTCCGCGATATCAAGCAAGATCGAAGCAAAAGGGGTTACGGTATGCGGTGGAGGGATTTATTCCAAATATAAAATTAAGAAATGAATGAGACACGACTACTATTGATGCTAATGCTTACCAGTCTCAAGAAAAATCAGAAAAACCCCATGACCATGCTAAGTTACCTCAAAATGCAACCAGCACAGCCTTGAAGATTTTATAAACTGGTTCAGTGGCTAATTGTTTGGAGTTCGAAATATATAACTTGCGCTGCATATTTATTCATGTTGCCTCCGATACAGGAGTACACGTTCGCTTTAACAAGCAGGTTGTTCATTACCACAGCAACCGATTGCGTGTCATGCTCATGCTGAATGCGATTTTCGTGTTTAAAAAGTAACTAACGTTATGCATAAGAGACGGAAAGAGGCAGAGAACCATACGTTATTTAAGGTTATTTCTATTCGTTACGATATTGATATATGAACTGATGTTGTCATGTAAGCTCCATGCTTTCCCCGTTGCGAACGTCCTCTAAACTGTAGTCTACGGTGCTGCACTGCTAACTTAGCTGACTGCTGCTCATTTTCCCAGAGAATATCATGGTATGTTAACAACAACCCTTTAGAAAATGTACAGTAAGTCCTTTGTGGATCCTCTTGATCTGCTTTCTCCGTGCTTCTTTGACTAATCTCAGTCGCACGCGAGACGAGTTAACCATGTTCGACACATTTAACTGGAATTGGGGCGTCCACACTGTTTAATACATCTTAGGCACCGCTCGCGTTGTGTTTTGGGCTTTGGAAAGGGAAAAAACACAACTTCTCCAGACAATTTCTCGGGGTATCATGTGTCCGATTTACTAACGCCGTGGGCGCACCACTTACTGTTTGACGGAACAGCTCACACAGTAACGGTTGCTATGATGTGTGATTGGACAATGGCCATTTTGTGGGAGGGGCCGGCGAAAGGTCAATTCAATGAGTGTTGCCAACAGGAACGGTGTAGAGCGCCCTCTGGTGGACAAACTATACAAATCCAACACTCATGATATGGTAGAAGCGTGTTTCGTCTGTTTTTATTTTATTTTTGAAATATTCATTTATCTGCCATTATAACTGCCGATACCGATAGTTTGGAAAATGCCTAATATCGGCCTGCCGATAAATCGGTCTGGCTCTACTTTACACACTGAGTTAAAATAAATTCCTCTTCTTATTGTAACAGCACATAAACTGAATTATTTTCATTACTGAAACATCATACATCAGATGTATGCATTCAACTAAGTATTTAATTTTTTGCTTTTGTCTATTTTTCCATCTTTGTTTTTTGCCATCTTACAGTAACACCGTGTGCATTTCATTTACTTTTCATTTGAGACTTTTTTGTTGTTGTTGAGGTCTTTACTCTTTACTGTTAATTATAGAAGCTTGTTTCTGCCACAGAATGAAAAATAAAAAAGGTAATTGTTGCTTTTTATCTCACAATTCAGACTTTTTTTTTCACACAATTGCGTCTTACATCTTTATTTCTTTAAAGTCAGAATTGTGAGATAAAAAGTTGCACTGTCTTTTTCTCAGAATTGCGACTTTATATGACGCAATTCGGACTTTATCATGCAATTCGGAATTTATCACGCAATTCTGACTTTATATCTCGCAATTCTGACTTTATATCACGCAATTCTGACTTTACATCTTGCTATTCTGACTTTATATCTTGAAATTCTGACTTTATATCTCGCAATTCAGACTTTATATCTCACAATTCAGACTTTATATCACGCAATTCGGACTATATCACGCAATTCGGACTTTATATCTCACAATTCAGACTTTATATCTCGCAATTCGGACTTTATATCTCAGAATTCAGACTTTATATCTCGCAATTCGGACTTCATATCTCACAATTCAGACTTTATATCTCGCAATTCGGACTTTATATCTCACAATTCAGACTTTATATCTCGCAATTCGGACTTTATATCTCACAATTCAGACTTTATATCTCGCAATTCGGACTTTATATCACGCAATTCTGACTTTATATCACGCAATCCTGACTTTATATTTCGCAATTCGGACTTTATATCTCAGAATTCAGACTTTATTTCTCGCAATTCGGACTTTATATCTCGCAATTCGGACTTTATATCTCACAATTCAGACTTTATATTTCGCAATTCGGACTTTATATCTCAGAATTCAGACTTTATATCTCGCAATTCAGACTTTATATCTCACAATTCTGACTTTATATCACGCAATTCTGACTTTATATCACGCAATCCTGACTTTATATTTCGCAATTCGGACTTTATATCTCAGAATTCAGACTTTATTTCTCGCAATTCGGACTTTATATCTCGCAATTCGGACTTTATATCTCACAATTCAGACTTTATATTTCGCAATTCGGACTTTATATCTCAGAATTCAGACATTATATCTCGCAATTCTGACTTTATATCTCACAATTCAGACTTTATATCTCGCAATTCGGACTTTATATCTCACAATTCAGACTTTATATCACGCAATTCGGACTATATCTCACAAATTTGACTTTATATCTCGCAATTCGGACTTTATATCTCACATATCACGCAATTCGGACTTTATATCTCACATATCACGCAATTCTGACTTTATATCTCGCAATTCGGACTTTATATCTCGCAATTCTGACTATATCTCACAATTCTGACTTTATATCTCGCAATTCTGACTTTATATCTTGCAATTCTGACTATCTCACAATTCTGACTTTATATCTCGCAATTCTGACTATATCACGCAATTCTGACTTTATAATTCGCAATTCTGATTTTTTTTATCTCGCAATTCTGACTTTATATCTCGCAATTCTGACTTTATAACTCGCAATTCTGATTTTTTTTATCTCGCAATTCTGACTTTATATCACGCAATTCGGACTTTACATCTTGCTATTCTGACTTTATATCTTGAAATTCTGACTTTATATCTCGCAATTCTGACTTTATATCTCGCAATTCAGACTTTATATCTCGCAATTCAGACTTTATATCTCGCAATTCAGACTTTATATCTCGCAATTCAGACTTTATATCACGCAATTCAGACTTTATATCACGCAATTCAGACTTTATATCTCGCAATTCAGACTTTATATCAGGCAATTGCGACTTTCTATCAGGCAATTCTGACTATATCTCGCAATTGCGACTTTATTTCTCACAATTCTGACTTCAAATCTTGCAATTGTGAGTTAAAAAGTGGAAATTATTTTTTTTTTTTTTTAAATTCAGTGGTGGAAACAAGCTTCCATAGTTAATTACATCAACTATTGATTGAAGTTCATCAAGTTTAGGTTTGAAAACAACACCTTTTTGATTTTCTTTAAGGCAATTTATTCATGTTTCAAGAAACCGTATTAGAGATTCTAAAACTTTTCTTTTTGACTCCATATGCATTGAAGACCCGGGAACCCCTTATCTCAAATCATATACCACAGGTTCCTGATTGTCAACTCTTTTTATTTGTTCAATTCATATCCACCGCATTCTTTTCCCTTTTTTTTCATGTGGAATACTACGATGCCTAACAATTTAACTACTACATGTTGATACTCCCTTAAAAGTTGTAACCTTTTCATACTTTTGCATACTTTCATACATTTTTTATATATTGTTGTTTTGTCATCTAGGACTGTGTTACCAAAAGAATGCCTTTTTCAGTTTTCAGAGCTTGCTATTGTCTGCAAGCCATTTTCTCTACTTTGTAACTTTGTATAGTGTTTTTATAAAGCAAGACACGAGAGGTTTTTGTTGAACTATTTGTTAGAAAATATGCAGTCTTTGGGAGTTTCCGCCAGGGGATTTCTGATAACAAATCCGAGGGAGTTTCCAGGAGATTTATGGAGATGTCAGAGAGTTTGATGGACTGGAGAGATGATGTCCAGCAGACGCTAATTCCCCAAAGACGGCCTCTCGGTTAGATGCCTTGCCATTGCGCCTCATGCAGTTCAAGCTTGGAAATGATTTGGTTTTGATTGACTTTTATTTGTGTTTCATATAGTAGTACCTTTTTCTGTTAACTAGTTAACCTGTACTTAATAAAAAATATATACAACTGAAATTAAGAAGCTCGCCTGTGTCTGTTTTACAAAAGATTGAGCTGAACTGATCACAGTCTTCTGTGATTTAAATTTAATTTCAAATGCTTATTATTTAGGACAGATTTGACTTAATTTACCTAACCTGAGAATAATTAAAATAAGCTTAAAGGTGTTTAAAATGACGCACCATAAAACATGGCGTTCGACGTGGTAAGCCTGGATTGATCACTGATTTCTGGCCAGGATCAATGACCAATTGCTCAAAATACAAGAAACGTGTAGGAAACACAAGGGGTTAAATAGAAGAAAGCACTCGATATAAAACTTGATTAGACTAAGAATAATTGTAAGACAAATCATTTAAACGACCCAGAAAGGGTTAAGTGCACATATGTGAAAGAAAACACCAAAGAAAAGCTGTGAAGGTTTATTTAGCTAGATAAATCTCATACGGTCTCAGAGAGGCTACAGGGCTTCTCCTTAACACAGAGCCAGACTCTTCATTCAAGCTCATACGAGTGATCCTCGTGTGCCTTTAGTGGAGGAGAGTGATATATCAGTAAAAACATCAGTTCGAGAGAGAACTTGATTTATTATTACTTTGGTTTGAGAATGCTTCCCCCTAATATAGTCCCAAGTCAATATCTGCCTAGTGTTATTCTGCGTCGCTATTTGTACTCGTGGTGAATACGCAGGCCACAATAAGCAATAACGTGGGTTTGTTTATTCTTTTTAACCACTTTTACTCAGGACATGCTTGCTGGCAACAAAGGAATCCATTCATTGTGCTAAGCTAAGCTAGCGCCGACCCTGTCGAACTAAAACAATGCATGCACTGAGACAAAAATGCATTTGCACGCATATCTAAATGTAGGAAAGAATGTGAATAACCCAATTTCAAAAAACGCTGGAGTGTTCCTTTAAAAGCTTCAAAATGAAATCAGTAGAAATGTATAAGAAATATAAACCATTAAAAGGACTCTGGTGGAATCTCATGATGTTGGGTATAAACAGCCCTGAAGCGGAGGGAAAAAGAGAAGCAAATAAGACTGGTGGTTTTCCCAGTTCTGCTCCTCTGACTATAGAGGAAGGGAAAGTTTTGGCCGGCGTAGGCTTTGGAAGGGCTCTCTGGAGACCAACGCTTCGCCCGAAAGTCGTCTGTAATATGTATTTTAAAATACGTGCTTTTCTAATAAAAATGTAAGCAATAGTAGTTTACTTTTGCTGATAATTTACTCGCCCCCATGTCATCCAAGATCCGTGTCATTCTTTCTTCAGTCGAAAAGAAATTAGTGTTTTTGATGAAAACATTCCAGGATTTTTCTCCATATAATGGACTTCAATGGGAACCAAACGGTTCAAGGTCCAAGTGAGAGTTTCAGTGCAAACTGTTCAAAGGGCTTTAAACGACACCAGACGATGAATAAGGGTCTTATCAAGCTAAACAATCGCTCATTTAATAAATAAATCACTAAGTTTCAGTTTTATAAGCTCAAATGGTCGCCTTGCTCTGTTCTGTGATGCGCGTTCGTGACTCTCCTGTTCAAATGAACGAATTGACTCAGAAAAAGATTTGTTCATTTTGATGAACGAGTTCGAACAAGAGAGTCACGAACGCGCATCACAGAACAGAGCAAGGCGAGCATTTGAGCTTACAAAACTTAAACTTTGTTATTTATTTATTAAATGAGCGATCGTTTTGCTTGATAAGACCCTTATTCATCGTCTGGAATCGTTTAAAGCCCTTTGAACATTTTGCACTGAAACTGCCTTTTGGACCTTGAACCCGTTTGGACCCCATTGAAGTCCATTATATGGAAAAAAAATGTTGGAATGTTTCCATCAAAAACCTTAATTTCTTTTCGACTGAAGAAAGAAAGACATGGACATCTTGGATGACATGGGGGCAAGTAAATTATCAGCAAAAGTTTTTTTTTATTTTTTTAAAGTGAACTTTTCCTTTAAGTCAAGACATTAAAACTATGATGAATCTCTCACATTAGTTTATTTAGCATGATTAGCCTCAGAGGAAAGCAATAATAGCATGAAATGACTTCTAAATGTCTTAAAACCAAAGATTGGGCACTAATGGTGGACTAGTGTTCAATCCAGTTGTTTGACAATTGATTTTTGGTGCCATGTTGAACTTTGTATTATACACAACTCAAAATAAAATATATGTTGATCCCTTACTTAATGTGACATCAAAATTCAGCTGTTATAGATTATTACAGTATGATTTATCATCAAAGTCCTCGTGATGATGTCTCTGCTTTTTTTGCATATCCGGATCTGATGTCATAAACCACAAAAGCAACAGCAGCCACGCCCACCAGAGCAGCGACGACCAATCGGGTGACAGGTTCAGCAAAACCACAGCTGTAGATTTCTAAAGGAAAAAATAGGAATTAGATGTTTTCTCCTTGAATTTACATCACTGTAGCTAATATCGACACTGACACACCTGGACACGGCTGACAGAGCCGTCTGATGTCCAGATGTGTGCTGTGGTTTGTGATGGGGTTGTTGAGCACACAGCTGTAGGGGTTCTTATCCTGATCTTCCACCTCCAGATGTAAAGAGATGCTGCTTCTGAGATCAGACACACTGATGCTGGACAATAGACTGTTTCCTTTGTACCAGGAGAGAGTCACATTATTCACATTCAACACTGAACACAGCACTGAACAATTTGATGATGACGATGATGAAGAACACTGTGAAGAGTCTCTGGTGATGGCAGGAACAGGCAGACGAGCTGGAGAATAAACAGAGATAATCACTTTGGGCTAATAAATGTATTTGTAAACTAATTTAAAAAATGACTCCTAATTCAGAGGCTGCGTCCTTCTAAGGTCACTGTGGCACAATAAAGTCTGTTCCAATTCAAAGTGCATTTACGAAGTAGTAGCATCGTTATTGCGCGCCAGTGATGGAAGGATTTTGCACCGTAGACAGCAACATTATCTGGGCTGACACTATATTGCTGTTTGGGACTTTTAAATTGAATTATTTGGTTTTACTTATGGCACTTTTCCCCTGCTGGTACGGCTCAGTACGGTTCGGCTCGCTTAGCTTTTCCACGAACTTTATTACGAATTGCTGACTCTATACTCCAACTCTGAGCAAACTCTCTACTCCTCACCACGGCGCGTCTCGGTGCTGCGGTTATCACTCCGCCCAAGTAGCAGTGCTTCGCCTTCTGGGAATATAGTTCCCAATATTTATACGGTTAAAAGATGGCTGTGTCTCATATGGCCTTGTTATTTGGACACTCTGTGACTATACAAATCACAACATGTAAGTAGGAAAATGCTTGCGCAATTTTGTCTCTTATTGGGATTAGTATGCTAGCTGTATCCATTTACATCCAGTCTTTGTGCTAAGCTAGGCTAGCGGTGGGTGCGTCAGACAGAATTACAGCACGCACGGAGATGAAAAAGGTATGTATGGACTTATCTAAATCTATACGGTGAATAAGCTAAAGTCTCAAAAACTCGGAGTGTGCCTATAAAACAGTTACTGGCTGCTTTTTACCGCGGTTACTGTCGCTCGTCGATGGCCGTCCCATTGGTTCAATCATTGTGGCCTTTAATATGTCTGAGTCATATGAAGGATGCAGACTTTCTGTACGTTCACACCGCCACCGGCGAGAGCGTCAAAGTGGCCGGAAGTCATTCATTTTCATTGAGATCCGGCGGCGAGAGCGGCGCGGCGCGTTTCGGACGGCAAGAGCGGCGAGGAGAGTTGAAATCAGTTCAACTTTATGGTAATAAGCAATGACGCGGTTCGGCGGCAACCAATCGGAATCTAGAAGTGCTCCGTTTGAGAGAATCCCAGAGAATGTAGTCCTGTAAACTTTGGTTCCGGCCACATTAGTTCCCAAGCAAAATAGAGGAGGTTGATAATTTGAATTTGATAAGAGGGCACGCAACACTATTTATAGGCAAGATTTTCGTGCTAGAACACTTTTTCAGCGGGAATGCAAATTATAATAGCACTTAACCATGAACACAAAAGCCACACCATACATATGGCTTTTAATTTGTTTATTTCATTAGCAAACATGTCACTATAATTTTAAAGTTATTTCCATCGATCAATTTTCGGCAAAAATAACTGACATTTTTGTTTGCTTGTTTGCATACCGTTTTAAAAAAAGATCACGCATTCGATCTACGTCAGAGCATCAGAGCGTCCACGAATCTTTCCACGGTGTCGTTGACAGGGCGGCAAGAGCGAATTTTGCCGCTCTCGCCGGCGGTGGTGTGAACGTAAGGTTTGAATTGGGACACAACTTGTTTGTTCTAAAGATAGGTCATAATAATCTGAGTTATAACTGACACGCATTAATATTCTTCTATATTTCATGACCAGCAGGGGGAGCTGTCTGGGCCGTTTCTAACTCCACAGATAACAGCGGTTAAGGCCAATTTATACTTCTGCGTAGGGTGCGCGCAGTAGGTGCGGAGTAGCATACCACATACCCTTCGTCGTAGCCTGACGCGCACCTCCTCAAAAATGTAACTACACGTCGTGACGACGCGGACCGCAAGATCTGTGATTGATCGGCTTGGTAGCATCGCATTTCCTCCTACGCATTTCCGCACGTACCATCTCCTCCGACGTCTTCTCTCGTTTCTGCCTTTTAGTTTATTAATTTCACTAAATTAACTGTTTTTCCACCGCAATAAGCTCCATCGCCATTGCTTGTAGTAACCTAGCCGCGAGGAATCTAAACACAGTGGAACATTAAAACCCTCCGCCGCCAACTAGTGTTTCGGAGCAGTACTGCAGAGCAACCAAGACCTGAACGCAGAAGTATAAATGCTCACGACGGCGTCTCCTACGCCGTACACTAAAGGCCAATTTATACTTCTGCGTAGGGTGCGCGCAGTAGATACGGCGTAGCATACGCAGAGACGCGTCCCATACCGCGTACCCTTCGCCGTAGCCTGACGCGCACCTCCTCAAAAATGTAACTACACGTCGCGACGACGCGGACCGCAAGATCTGTGATTGGTCGGCTTGGTTGCATCGCATTTCCTCCTACACATTTCCGCACGTACCTTCTCACGCATTTCCACACGTACCATCTCCTCCGAAGTCTTCTCTCATTTCTGCCTTTCAGTTTTAGTAATTTCACTAAAATTAACTGTTTTTCCACCTCAATAAGCTCCAACTCCAACATGATCCGCTCTCTTTCAGGCTTGTAGTAACCTAGTCGCAACTCGGGCAATGTAAACAGTGGAACATTAAAACCCTCCGCCGCCAACTAGCGTTTCGGAGCAGTACTGCAGAGCAACCAAGACCTGAACGCAGAAGTATAAATGCTCACAAAGGCGTCGCCTACGTGCGTAGCCAACGCCGTTCACAACGGCGTACCCTCGACGCAGAAGTATAAATTGGCCTTAAGGCGTACCCTCGACGCAGATAACACAGTCTCATCCCAAAAAGTCATATAACTGACGTCTTGGGGCGTTTTTTGACCATACGTCAATATCCGCCTTTTTAGGGCCCCCTTAAACGTCGGTAGATGGCGATCCCGGGCCGTCATACAACTGACGCTTTACCTTTAACGTCAGTTAGGTGACGGGTTAGGTTTAGGGTTAGGTTTAGGTATGGGGTAGAGTTAGGATCCCATAACCTCATCTACCGACGTTTAAGGGGGCCCTAAAAAGGCGAATATTGACGTATGGTCAAAAGACGTCCCAAAACGTCAGTTATATGACGTCTTGGGATGAGACCAGGTTGACGCAGAAGTATAAATTGGCCTTTAGTGTCCTCTGTATTACTCCTGGAGAGGTTTTGAAAAAGTAAGTTTCTTGAACTGAAACATTTGACAGATGTTTCAGTTCTAGAAATTGTTATATAACAATACTAACAAGTAGAGTATGTGAACATCTAAGACCAATGCTATAAAAATGTTCTTTTTCCCATCCCATCTATTTTAAATCATATTTCAATATTGTGATTTTGTACCAATGATTTTGTTACTCACAATAGACGGTAAGCTTAAATTTGCTGACTTGGTCTCCTGCTCCTCCCTTGATGTTTACGTCATAAGGTCCAGAGTCTGAGGTTCTGGTGTGTGTGATGGTCAAAGATCCAGTGAGATCCAGCTTCAGTCTGTCTTTGAATCGTCCATCAGGACCTTCATATAATGAGATCTGACCGGCATCTATGAGAGCAATGAGAACCCCTTGATCTCCAAACCTCCACAGTATCTTATCTCTCAGAGTCGCAACACCAGGCTTTAGAGTGACTGAATCTCCCTCCGTCACTGACACGGACTTCACTGCATCGACATCACCAAACACACCTGCAAAACACAACAAACACACACACCTAAGGACTATACACACCGATAACAATCTACAGAATTAAATACAGTATTTTAAATGAAGACAAAAGTTGACTAGCATCAAGGTCAGGTTCTGTTTTAGCTGGGTAAATAAATTGAGAAAAAAAAAGGAAAGACAAAAAAAAGATGTGTTTTAGCTATAATAAATCAATATCAACGTACATTTAGAGGACATAGTAGTTTTTTTAATTACTGAAGCCACATATGCTTACCAACGGGACTCCACAAACAACAGAGCACAGCAAACAGACGAAGCATTTTCCTCAAACGCTCGCAGACGTCTCCAGTAGCTAATAGCCTATCAGTTGGCATGAATCTGTGGAAAACTCTTCAAAGCCCACTAGTTTTACACTTAAATGAGAACAAAAGTTGTATGAAGTGGTGTTTGTGAAAGTCAGCCGTCAGAATGAACTCCTGTCCCCTTATTTTGTGTCGAGTTACACTCATAAAACCACAAACCACAACTTTTATTGGTGTCATTTCCCTTTTGGTAGAGTCAGTTTTAATAGGAAATGAGAAAACAATAATTTTGCTTGAGTTTCTGAAATGTAGAGCTTAGGAGTTTTGTTAGAGTTTTGTGTGTGTGTGTTTTTTTTACAGTAAAATACTGGCAATACTGTTATCTAATAGACTGTTCACATTTAATAGACTGCATTTCACAATACTGTTGTCTGTTGACGCTACTGTGTCATGACGTCACACACGCGCTGTTGTTTTGGTTCAGAGTAGCAATCATGACATCGAGGCAGAAGCGCTCTAAAGTTTGCTTATATTTCACGGGCAAAGAGACAATATATGAGGCGACATTATATGAGTCATTCCACGAAACCGGTACGATTTGGACTTACACATTTTTGGATTTTTTACCAACATGTATTACTTTTCTGAACACCCCACAACATTAATGACATTTAACTTCCAGAAAAACATATTTTCCCACCTCAGGCATTAAATACTTTTTATTATTGGTAATTATTTTAAGATATGAGCGCTATTAGTCTTCAACCCCGTTATGGACAATATGGAAGCTCTCTGAATATAATTATAAAATATATTTGTAATGAAATCAACATTTTCCTATTAGTCAGATGTCCCTCACTCTAATTCAATTATTGCAAATGTAAAATGTACATATCATTTCACACTTATGCTATACTAAAGCCTGAAATGGGCACTTTTTGTGACAGCAACCTCATCATTTTTGATCAAAGATGTGGCTTAACTTCAGAATTTGAAGTATTCTTATGTATTCCGTATTCTTATGATTGCTCTGAACATTTCAGACTGAGTTCAACAAACAATAATTTACTTTTTCATGAACGTAAAAAAAAATTCATAAAAATGTAGGTGTGACGGGGTTGAGACTAGGGTAACAGGGTTGAAGATGGTAACGGGGTTGAAGAGACAAATACAGCTTCACATATGAGTAGTTGTTTTTTTACTCAAATTCACTGTAATATTTTCTATAAGCACTGTATTTTATTATGTTACCAAGAAAAACAACAGATATAAATTGCAATTGCAACTCAGTTTTATTAACCCGACTGCAGGAAAAACAACAATAACGTAGTATACATTAGAACATTATAAAATGACTGAATAGGTCATCAAAATAAAACCTATAACTTGTGTGCTTTTTTGATGTATGTGTGTGTGTGTGTGTGTGAGCATGTTTGTGTGGGTTTTTTTTACATGTGTGCATGCTTCGTGGCAAAGAAGTAACGGGGTTGAGTGTGACAGGGTTGTGATTTTTTTGCTAAAAATGGCCACTGCTCTATATGTAGTGAATAACAGGAGAGCAAATGGAATGCATGATATTAAGAAATCATATGCTTTTGAAATAACAAAGATCATTTTCACAAGTAATAGAATTCTATCTTTATTTGATGTAACGGGGTTGAGCCGTTGAGCTTGACAACCACAATATCACAATTCTAAATAAGTTATAGTTATAAAAGTAGTTGGTAACTTGCCTGTGTCTGCACACAATGTTGTTCAGAAGACTTCTGTGATGTTACTTCCTGTTGTTGATGTTACATAAGGATCTGTTCATTATTTTTATGGGGGGAGAATGATGAGGGATTACTGAGGTACGGAACTAAATAATGTGATTTTAATGATTAATCATGATTTTTTTTTTTTTTATATTACCAACAAAAAAGCACAGATAGATATTCATGGGAATAGCAAAATTCTCTAATCTCTAAAATTTTCTAATTTTATTATTCATATTCCAAGTACACTTTCATAGAAGGCCATGAGGGACATGACAAAATAGGTGGTGAACCTATTTTGAACCTATAGGTGGTCAACTGAAAAAACAAGATAATTTCTAATATAAAGATAAAATGTTTGTCATTATTTTTAAACTCTATTAAAGGAGACATTTCAACTGACACAAAAAGCTTTTAATAATAGATTTTGGCGACCCAATAGGTAAAATAGGCCTACACTTAAAAAGGTCAGAGGGACAGGGACTCAAATCGTACCGGTTTCGTGGAATGACTCATATGAGGCTTTAATCAAACTCCATTCATGCACACACACACACACACACACACACACACACATAAACACTTGCATACACACATATAGCCTAATAAGTAGTCGAACATGATGATACACTGCTGAATGCTCACACACCTAAAGTCGCTCACGCACATCACGCACAGTCGCCAGGCACAAACCAGTACTCATATGAGACGCGCGCGTAGTGCCGCACACACACTCTCCACGCAGGGAATGACGGACGGACTATGAGACGCGAGCACACACACACACTCGCGCAAATAGGCTACTCAATGAGAAACTTGACCCGAATCCACCGCCAAAAAAACATCATCCACCCGCCCTAATGTTTTCTTATACGTATCCGATGAGCAATGCAATATCGATAATGGAATAGGAATTGTTAAATTCTTATCAATTCCCATTCCTACATATAATCTTCAGCATCATTACATATGATAAATATCCATCATAAAACAGAACATATATAATATTCATCGCCATTCGTTAACTTGTCTTGTTTTCCCAGCTCCCCCAAACTAACAGTCAGATTGCGCAGGCGCAGTGCGGGATTTCAGCGGTGGGTGCGGTTCAGAAATCAAATCAAACACTCATAACACAGACACAACCGTGGATAGCCACAATCGGCCTTATTAAACTCAACTTTTACTCAACTTCTCAACAAAATGAAGATCGTGTTTTCTATCTGTGTATTTTGCTTCGCCATAGAAGGTAAGTGTTTTAATTCTGGTTTTCTGTGATGCTTTCAGTTTCTCTTTGTAACTTACCTGTCAGGTGTGACATGTGTTGTCTTCAAATGCCTTTGCTTATGACACGCGTTTTAAACTACACATAAGGTCTATGATAGATAATGTGCTTTGATTTTATAGGAATCTATCCTCCAAACATAAACGAAATGTTCTGATTTAAAGCAAACTAGTTTAGTAAAGTTGACAACATATTCACAGATTCGAAATTCCTGTCAATCAATAACTTCAATGTTACACACTGCATTGTCACTAAATTCAATCTCCACATAAGTCGTCTCCTACTGGTTACTACATCACTAGCAAAAAAAGGGGGCTTTTGCATTATTTTATTATTTTGCATAATATCACTAATTTTAGACCGAGCACGTGAAGCCATAATACAATGAATCAAGTTCCCTAGTTATATATATATATATATATATATATATATATATATTATAATTGCCGTCTATCAAAGAAAGTTTTCCATTTCTTCCAGTAACTTTCCCCTTTTTCCCGAAGCATGCCTTAAGGAAAAGGTCAGTTTCTCCATGCTGTATATTTTGTTTGTAATTTCTGTCCATTGCAATTAAGTAGGAGGGTCTATGTTCGACCATTTACCTGTAATGGCCTTCTTGCTTGATGCTTTTAAGATTTGCAGCAGATATCTGTCTTCCTTTCTTCTCCCATTTGGTATTTTTCCAAGTTAAAACACAGAAAAGGTCTCGTCTAATTGTAATCCCAATTTAATTTTTATATATCTCATAATATCTGCCCAATAGGGGGCGATCTTCCAACATCCCCAAAAGTTGTGATTTACCGTGTTGAGGATTTTTAGTCTGTGGTTCTATGATCTTTGGAGTAATGAAGTACCTTAAAGTATATTCTCTCCATAAGTCAGAGCTGAAAGTAGTAGCAATGGTTTCACATTTATATTTCCAATCTTCTTCAGTTATATTCATTCCAATCTACTTTTCCCATCTTTGTTTAATACACATAGTGGAGAGCTGTTTCCCAGATTGTATAAGAGATATATACTGCAGAGACATGTTTTTTAGTGATTTTTTGCCCCTACAGCCTACATTAATAAAAAGCGTAACCAAGGCACTGGTCTCCATGTTTTTGGATCTGATATCTATATTAAAATGATGCCTTAATTGAAGATAACTGAAAAATTCATCTTGCCTCAAGTCATATTTTATATCTTTATATCTGTAGTTATTTTCCCATATGTCGTAATTCCTTAATTACACCAGTGCTTGAATCATGCATCATTTTCTGTAGGTGTGAAATCCAGTCTTCAGCATCAGAAATCATTCTAATATGCTGCTTTATTATCAATTTCAGAAACATTTGTGCTGCGTCATATTTTATTGAAACCTGTGTTACTTTTTTCATGTTTCATTAACCCTCTGGGGTTGTTCGTTTGTCACACTTGGGGTGTTCGGGTCCAAATGGACCCAAAGGGCAAGATTCATATTTAAAAAAAAAAAAAAATCATAATTTTTTTTTTTACTTGTTTTCTATCAAAAATTTTCTTTTCTTTTTTGGTGTTTTGAGATAATTTTATGATTTATGATTAATATTTATGCAATAATTATGACCCATTTTTTCCCATTGAACATAATAGAATTTTTATTTATTTATTTATTTATTTTTTTTTTATCAAAGCTGTATTACATTTTAGAGTGAAGCCTAGGCCTCATAAAAGCAATTTTTGAAAAAAGATAGATGTCATCTGGTAGACACACTGAGCATTTTTATCACGCAATAGCACATTTTTACCACTATAGTGGATTAGTGGATACAGTACAGCTCTCTGTAGAAAGGCTTGGGGATTCTAGTGATTTTTGCAAATACCAATTGTTTTTCAGGTTGTTGATTTTTAAAATATAAAAACAGATTCTCAAAGACTATTTTTGTTTTTGTTTTTTGGTTGGTTTAGATGGTAATTTGAAGTTTATTATACAATCAAATCTGAACATTGCATTGGAAAGAGAACAAATGGAAAGCATTTTGTTACCCAATGTTTAATTTTTATTCTAACTTAATAAAAATGCAATTCCTCAGTCATAACATATATTTAAATTATTTGCATACTATTTACATATGCCATTCTATGAACAGTAACTCAAAATTAGCACAGGTGCTGCATTAGGCCTGGAGGTTACTAGGGTAGAACTCCATCCTTTGATCTAATCTCTCTCTGTGTTTGTGTGTGTGTGTGTGTGTGTGTGCCTGTTTTGTACTCTTGAGTCTTGATGTTTTAGAGATTCACCCCTTCACCATTGAGTCATTTTTTCTGCATTCTGGCTGATTTGTATATTGTATGCACAAAAAAACTGTTTTCATATTTTTGACAATTTCCCATTCATTTCCAATGGGGGTAATTTGGACACGAATGTCCTGAGTGTGATAAAAAAAAATTAGTGTGATAAAAAAAAAAATTACAACCACTTAGACTATTCAAATAGACTATTCTATTTGAACAGTCTATGTTTTCATATTGAATAATCTGTGTTTTCATATTTTTGACAATTTCCCATTCATTTCCTATGGGGGTCCATTTGAACCCGAAGGTCCTGAGTGTGACTATTTTTTTACAACCACTTAGACTGTTCACATCCTGTCCCCAATTTTTTTGTGTGTTCACATACCTAATACCATAAAAGTCACCTAGTTTCGTAACATTCCGATGAAGCTGTGATTTTTAAAAATTCAAAACAGATTTATGTAATCTGAATTTATGAGTGTGAAAGTGTATAAAAGTGTGTGTGTTTGTGTGTGTGAGTGTGTGTGGCTGTGTCTGTTTTGCACTTTTTGTGTTTTATAGATTCACCCCTTCACTGTTGTGTGCTTTTTTTATGGATTGTGTCTGATTTGTAGATTGTACGCACCAAAAAACTCTGTTTTTTCACATTTTTGCCAATTTCCCATTCATTTCCTATGGGGACCCGAACACCCCAAGTGTGACTATTTTTTTTACAACCACTTAGACTGTTCACATCCTGTCCCCAATTTTTTTGGGTGTTCATATAGCAAATACCAACAAAGTCACCAAATTTCGGACCATTCCGAAGAAGCTGTGATTTTTAAAATTTTTTTATTTGAATGCTTCGGGTTCATTTGGGCTGAACAACCCCAGAGGGTTAAAGAATTAAAAGTTTAAAATAACAACATGTATTCAAAATACAAATATAAGTCTTTACTATCTATCACTTTATCAATGTAACATCCTAGTAACAACATCCGTAACATCATAGCAACAACAGTTTGGTTACTAGCAATCTTCAAAATATATTCTGTGTTCAACAGAAATAATCAGGTTATACAGGTTTGGAACAAGTACCAACAAGTTGAGCAAATGATGAAATAAGTTTACTTTCGGGGTGAATCACCCCTTTAACATTTTTGTTTTCTTTTTCTGGCAATAGTTTATTTTTGATATAAATGTGACATGTATTGGTATTTCCATGTGTTCTGCAGGCGCGTGGGATGTAGATCCAGTGGAAGTGACAACGGCGATCGAGGGACATTCTCTCACTCTACATGCTGATTTCACTGAAACACAGACAGATGGTCTTGCAGAGTGGATCGTTAATGAGACGAGGATAGCAACAATTAACAAAGCAACTGGTAAAGTTGAATATAGTGATGTGAAGTTGATGATGATGTTTAGTGGCAGACTTCATTTGGATCAAACTGGATCTCTCACCATCTGGAACATGAGAATCAAACACTCTGGTGAATACACAGTCGAGAGTATCAGCAGTGTTGGGACTAAATCCAAGAAATTTCAAGTTATTGTGAAAGGTGAGTACATTAAATCTGATGGTCCCCATGCACTGGGAAAAGTGTGTTTATAGTGTGGGTGCACTGGGTAAAAAGTGTGGGCATGCTCCGGACAATACAAAGATGCATTGTAATATACCTGTGGCCTTAACAAACAAAATTAGTTTGGTTCTACTTTGCATTTGCCACAATACATGCAAAGTAATTCGTTGAAAGGCGAAATAGTAGTACATTAGAAGTCACATGTTTCAAATAATTGAATTTATTCACAGTCATACAATACAATACATTACCATTCAAAACTTTGGGGTCAGTAAGATTTTTTTAAATAGCCCTACTTCTGAACAAAGCAATTTTATACAGTAATTATTCCTGGGATGTTAAAACTGACTTTTCAGTAGCTAGCATCCATCCAGTCGTCAGCATGTAAATCGTGAAAGATTTTCAGAAATGTTTGAACAGAACTGTCAAAAGAGTAGCATTTCTTTAAAAAAATCACCAACACATTAAGGTGGATTATATACATTATAAAATTATACAAAGCATCGCCAATATGCATTTTAATGCATAGGTAAAACCTTTATGGGCACATATAAAATGTATATGCTCCAAACAGTTTAAAACAGTCATTCTGATCGTCACGGGAAAATAATATGAAAATATTATTAACTGCGAGCAACCAATATTTGTTTTAGTGAGCAAAAATATCAAAAGCATTATAAAAGTATTCCCCACTAAGCGTGCTAACTTGGGTTGTATTGGGGGCAAACAGCGTGCATCAATTTCAATGATGCTTGTGGATCTTCAAGAGCGGGAAAAATGAGCGACCGACACACGGCATGTAATGCATATGGTTAGTATGACTGTTATGGCCATTCAAGGTAGAAATACTCAACTCTTTTGTGTCTTGTAATTTTAATAGAATTACAATGAATGAACAAAATTTGAAAACAGTCAAAATGACTGCCTTTGGTAGTTCTAGTGTTAAGCATGATTCAAAATTCTTTTGCATTCCACATAGAAAAAAGTAAAGGATGCATGTTTGGAACAACATGAAGAACAATCCCTGTAATGTCTGGCTTTCACTTGCAGCATGAATATGTCATGGGAGTGCCCTCTGCTGTCCATAAGGTGCCATTTCAAACCCAGCCATCAGGATTTGGGCAACGCCTCCTCATTTGCATACACTCCTCAATCCTCAAATGGCCAATCCTAAATACCAAATTCCCAATAAATATACATTTTTGACTTAGACTTTAAGTTTCAGACTTAGACTTTAAATTTCAGACTTGCAGCCATTGCACACTGAGTACGAAATTTTTGTATTTTCGTGTTCGTCAGCCTAAAAATTCATCACGCACAAAAACCTTGCACACCGAGTCGTATTTATTAAACCTTTGCAGAAAAAAAACGCAAAAATACCAAATGGATTCGTCAGTGGATTGAACAGTGAGGATGATTTTGTTGCCCTCTCTCTTATTGAATAGAGAAGAAAGAGAAAATATTGCGTGGGTCCATCCAATACTGAAATTGCTCCGAGAGGAAGGAGAGTTCCACGTCCTTATCAAGAAATTGCGAATTTATCTTGAGCGATTAAAAATTTAATTCAGATTGTCAGTGGAACAGTGTGATGCTTTGCTTGCGATTTTGGAGCCACATATTAAAAACAAGACCACAAATTTCCATGAACCAATCGATTCTGAACAGAGACTGGCAGTATGTCTAAGGTATGGACACATAGGCTGCTATATATTGTGCCCAAATAACACATTAGTTATCGAATTGGCTGATCGAATTTCGGACTCACTTAGACTTTAAGTTTCAGACTTAGACTTTAAGTTTTCGACTTAGACTTTAAGTTTAAGACTTAGACTTTAAAGGGCACCTATTATGCCCCTTTTTACAAGATGTAATATTGTTCTTGGGTATCCCAGAATGTATTTGTGAAGTTTCAGCTCAAAAAACCCACAGTTAATTTATTATAACCATTTGAAAATGTCATTTTTTAGGCCTGTTAAAAAATGAGCTGTTTTGGTGTATACGACCATAAATGCAAATGAGCTGCATATCCCTGCCCTGCCTTTGGATGAGGGCGTAACTTGATACCTATGGCAGTCAGTCTAAGCAGAAGGGCTGAGAGAAACCGCTGTTTTGAATGTCATTCAGCCTTACGTGTTTGAATCAGAATATATAAATAGTACGAAGAGACTCCGGCAGAATAAACACAAATGAGAATGGACCAGTACGTCTCGGTATGGTTATTTAAAACATTTATGTACTTATAGAGTTGTAATCGCGTCCCCTTTGCAATTATGGATGTGCAACACACAGACACAAAAACACTAACGCTGGTGCAATTTTTTGAAACTACATACACATTCTGTGATAAAGTTTGCTACGGACAAGCGAAATTACATTTATGCCAGGGACCTGTTGCGTCATGTTTACTTGTCATACAGGTGCTTCTGTGGCAAAAGTGAGAAGATGGATAACTTACAGAACAAGAAAATATATGGAGTTTTTAATACAATATCTTTAAAAATATATATATTTATAAACGTGTGGTTACACACTATACAAACAAGGTTTAAATTATATAGACAGACATTCTACGACGACAACAACTTTAGACGCATTTGTTGTCGAATTGGCTGACATCGACTGAAAAGACTATTTGCTCAAAAATCATAAAATACACTTACTGTTACTGGAGGTGTCGGTGGATCGGAAACAGTAGACGACGATCCACACTTGGGGCCAGTGGTTCAAAACATTTAATCTGGATTAAAATGATCCGGATTTGGAAATCCCATTTTTTCCTATCCAGGATCAGGTAATCTGTCTTACTTTAATGCCGGTTTTTCAAAGCAACATTTGACTGGATCACCCTGATCCAGATACACAGTTTTCAAGATTACCAAATTCGGATTACCAGTGCTCTAAATTGGACAACATATCACAGTGTGGGCTACCAGCTATAAAGAACAGGTAGTAGAGCCAACACGGGGTCACTGTAAGTGTTTCTTATTTTGAGACAAAACACAAATGGGGACAAGATAACTTTTATTTTATTTTTACTTTACAATAATGAATAGCTTAATTGTTAGCCTATGTCTACTTTATCAATGTTACAACGGTTACACAAGTCAAGTGCAAAATATAAATAAAAGTATACACACTAAATGATACAAATGTATTATTTGACCAATTTTAAAGTTTTACTACATTTTCTTCCTGAAATCCAGCTTGAAATCCTTCCCCCTGTTGGGATCAGGGTAATCCTGTTTTTTTTTGATCAAAGTTATCCAAATCCCACTGACAAATTTGAACAACACAAACTGAAGGTTTGACCCAGATTAAAACTAGGATTGGATTCCCTGATCTAATCTGATTTCAGATTCCTTTTTTCCCTTTTGAACCACCCATTTTCAAGATTTGATCCAATCCGATAACCAAAATCCGATCAGCTTACCTTTGAACAACTGGCCCTTGAGGATTAACTTTTAATCCAGAACAACAGGATTAACCCACGACAGAACACTTAAGTTTCCAAGAGACATTACCGACTGTCGTTGAAACAATGGAGGGTGGTTTACAGATCACCGAGGGCGGGGTCTATGCCACAACCACACTGTCAATCAAACCCCTGGCTCATTTCTACGTCACAAAGCTCTGAATCTTAGAACAGCTCGTTCTGAGACAGTGCACATGATTTATTGAGATTGTAAAAAAAAACACTAGTTGGATTTTTATCATTCTAGGTTGTTTCGCTCACACACTGCCAACACACATTTATGTTCAAACACCATGTAAAAGTGAATTTTCAATAATAGGTGCCCTTTAAGTTTTAGGCTTAGACTTTAAGTTTTCGACTTAGACTTTAAGTTTCAGACTTAGACTTTAAGTTTTTGACTCAGACTTTAAGTTTCAGATTTAGACTTTAAGTTTCAGACTTGGACTTTAAGTTTCAGACTTAGACTTTAAGTTTCAGACTTAGACTTTAAGTTTTATAAAAACAATATAAATTCAAAATGCACTGATCGAATCCGGTAAGAATGCATTCATCTTTATCTTTCCTAATGGACTTATATGTGCTTATTTGAAAATGTGCTATTTAGAGATTGGGATTTTTTTATAAAGCCTATTAAAGCATCATGTTAACATCACTGCAAAAAGACATCTAATATAAAATCTATATTCACCTAGTAGGCTATAATAATAAGTATAGAGTAGCCTACGTTTTCTGATGAAAATCAGGTCTGCTTTCCTCGGCGCGAATGTTTTGGAATGTTGAAGCTCTGAACGTCGCAAATTCGCGTCGCGGCTGATGTGAATGGTTTTGACGCGAACTATTCTCACGCGAACTATTCGCTTTTTCGTTTCGCTTTTCCGTTACGCGTCCGGTGTGAAAGGGCCTTTAGACTTTTAGTTTCAGACTTGACTTAGACTTTAAGTTTCAGACTTATAATTTAAGTTTTTGACTTAGACTTTAAGTTTCAGACTTAGACTTTAAGTTTTTGACTTAGACTAAGTTTTCGACTTAGACTTTAAGTTTCAGACTTGGACTTTAAGTTTTCGACTTAGACTTTAAGTTTTCGACTTAGACTTTAAGTTTAAGACTTAGACTTTAGGTTTAAGACTTAGACTTTAAATTTCAGACTTAAACTTTAAATTTCAGACTTAGACTTTAAGTTTCAGACTTAGACTTTAAGTTTTCGACTCAGACTTTAAGTTTCAGATTTAGACTTTAAGTTTCAGACTTGGACTAAGTTTCAGACTTAAACTTTAAGTTTCAGACTTAGACTTTAAGTTTCAGACTTAGACTTTAAGTTTTCGACTCAGACTTTAAGTTTCAGATTTAGACTTTAAGTTTCAGACTTAGACTTTTAGTTTCAGACTTGGACTTTAAGTTTCAGACTTGGACTTTAAGTTTTTGACTCAGACTTTAAGTTTCAGATTTAGACTTTAAGTTTCAGACTTAGACTTTAAGTTTCAGACCTAGACTTTTAGTTTCAGACTTGGACATTAAGTTTCAGACTTAGACTTTAAGTTTCAGACTTATAATTTAAGTTTTCGACTTAGACTTTAAGTTTCAGACTTAGACTTTAAGTTTTTGACTTAGACTTTACGTTTTCGACTTAGACTTTACGTTTTCGACTTAAACTTTAAGGTTCAGACTTAGACTTTAAGTTTCAGACTTAGACTTTAAGTTTTCGACTTAGACTTTAAGTTTCAGACTTAGACTTTAAGTTTTCGACTCAGACTTTAAGGTTCAGATTTAGACTTTAAGTTTCAGACTTAGACTTTAAGTTTTCGACTCAGACTTTAAGTTTCAGATTTAGACTTTAAGTTTCAGACTTAGACTTTTAGTTTCAGACCTGGACATTAAGTTTGAGACTTACACTTTAAGTTTTTGACTTAGACTTTAAGTTTCAGACTTGGACTTTTAGTTTCAGACCTGGACATTAAGTTTGAGACTTACACTTTAAGTTTTTGACTTAGACTTTAAGTTTCAGACTTAGACTTTAAGTTTTCGACTCAGACTTTAAGTTTCAGATTTGGACTTTAAGTTTCAGACTTGGACTTTAAGTTTCAGACTTAGACTTTAAGTTTTCGACTCAGACTTTAAGTTTCAGATTTAGACTTTTAGTTTCAGACTTGGACTTTAAGTTTCAGACTTAGACTTTAAGTTTTTGACTCAGACTTTAAGTTTCAGATTTAGACTTTAAGTTTCAGACTTGGACTAAGTTTCAGACTTAAACTTTAAGTTTCAGACTTAGACTTTAAGTTTCAGACTTAGACTTTAAGTTTTCGACTCAGACTTTAAGTTTCAGATTTAGACTTTAAGTTTCAGACTTAGACTTTTAGTTTCAGACTTGGACTTTAAGTTTCAGACTTGGACTTTAAGTTTTCGACTCAGACTTTAAGTTTCAGATTTAGACTTTAAGTTTCAGACTTAGACTTTAAGTTACAGACCTAGACTTTTAGTTTTCAGACTTGGACATTAAGTTTCAGACTTAGACTTTAAGTTTCAGACTTATAATTTAAGTTTTCGACTTAGACTTTAAGTTTCAGACTTAGACTTTAAGTTTTTGACTTAGACTTTACGTTTTCGACTTAGACTTTAAGTTTTCGACTTAAACTTTAAGGTTCAGACTTAGACTTTAAGTTTTCGACTTAGACTTTAAGTTTCATACTTAGACTTTAAGATTCAGACTTAGACTTTAAGTTTCAGACCTAGACTTTAAGTTTCAGACTTAGACTTTAAGTTTTCGACTTAGACTTTAAATATCAGACTTAGACTTTAAGTTTTAGACTTAGACTTTAAGTTTAAGACTTAGACTTTAAGTTTCAGACTTAGACTTTTAAGTTTCAGATTTAGACTTTAAGTTTCAGACTTAGACTTTTAGTTAAATTAGACTTTTAGTTTCAGATTTAGACTTTAGCTTTAGCCTTTTAGTTTTCGATCTGACCCAATAATCCCTCCATAGCTGGGTGGTACCAGTCGGATTCAGAAACACAGCTTCTTAGCGATGGAAAGTTCTAGCAGTCTCATTGGTTAGAATTAATCATGTGATGACACCATCCACTGAATTACTTATGTTTTTTTTTCTTTTGCAAATTCAGAAATGTAATATAAAACATTGCTTTTTAAGCTCAACGTCGCAGCAGCAGATTGGTGAGGCGTCTGATGTCACGTGATCCCAATAAAGACACACAGCCAACGAGCAATCCGCCACCCAATGAATGGACACACAGAGAGGAAAAAAAAACACAAATACACGTGGAACGTAACATAATACAATATATATATATATATATATATATATATATATATATATATATATATATATTGTATTTCCTAGTGTAGAAATATATAATTTTATAATAATAAATACATCACTGATGAATACCAAAACAAATCAGTCAACCATTTGCATTGTTTTATTGTGACAAATTTAGGTTTTGTTTAATACATATATTGGAAACACTTTTTCAAATTGCCCTATAAACATTTTTGCGATTCACAATTTCAATTTGTGCAATTTTTAGGGTAATGTAAACACGGCTTATGATCAGTCACGCAGGGACTGTGCTCCTCCATTGATACTCGCTCATTATACACATTTTGTAAATTTTTAACAAAAAAATTACTTACTGCAGCTTTAAATAAGTGCATAGAGCTGCTCATTGTATTTGTCATTTTTTGAAACTATTAGTTATTTTTTATAAATTTTCATCTCATTTGAACAAAAACGTGTTAATATTGATCATCCTGATAAGAAACTGTCATGCCGTTTGATCTATATTTTTGTAATAAACAACCAACAGTTATGAGAATGAGATATTATTTTTGCAGAATCTCCACTCAAGTCTGTTGAAGATAATGAAGAAATCAAGGCACTATTAGCTACAGAGGGAAACTCTGAGACTCTCCACACTGACACTGAACTGCAGACACGAGATCTCATACTGTGGAGATATGGAGCTGAAGGATCTCTTATCGCTAAAGGCGATAGAGAAGACGATCATGCATCACACTATGATTTGGACGATGGGAGATTCAGAAACAGACTGAAGATGGACAACACTGGATCTCTGATCATCAGTGACATTGAAACTGTACATGCTGGAGAATATAGACTAAAGATTGTTAATGACAGAGGGATTTTATTCAAGAGATTCACTGTTACTGTCTCTGGTGAGTTGTTATTTTCTGCCAGTACAGCTCTAAAGCACTAGCGTCTCCTCATGATTGAGTTGATCATATGTCTCTTCCTCATGTCAGTGCCAGGTCTTCCTCCAGGAGCGGTGGCTGGGATATGTGTTGTTCTGATGCTGGCGGCTGCGGCTGCGGCGACTGGTGTCGGGATTTACTGGCGACACAGAGACTCTGAACTCAAAAAACTCATACGTAAGTCATACAGAATTCATGCAGATGATGAAGAATCACAGTCTCTTCTCAGTGTTTCATCTATTCACTCATTTCTGTTTTGATGTGCTGTGACATGAAGCGGGGATCTCCAAACAACTACAGCAACTGCGTAAGTATTACAGCTGATACAACAGAACTGTCTACTGTAGTAGATTATAACCGATTTTTCAGTCAATATTTATAATTTTCACCATGAGTTGTTTGATGAATGAATCGCTCTGTTTTAAATGCTGAATTTGGAACAAGCTCACTTATCTCATTTCTATTTCGCTGTGCGGCTGCTGACATGAAGCGAAGATATCCAAACAGCTGGAGGAGTTGTGTAAGTATTACACCTGATACGCATAGTTTAAATGTTTAATATGATTTTTTTTAAGATTCATTTTTGCCACAAATTCTGCTTATAAATAAATAATTAATAAAGTTTATGATAATTTAGTATTGATATGCATTAATTAAAAAAATAATACTAATTGGGAGAAATCACACACTCTTTTCTCAGTGTTTCTGACATGTAAATTTTGAGTCTCTTTTCTGTTTCTATGTGCTGTTGTGACATAAAGCGAAGCTCTCCAAACGCTTGTGTAAGTATTAAAGCTGAAACAGCAACTGAGTAAAGCTTAAGGTTTCACACATCACTGAAGTAATTAAACTAATTAAATTAAAATACATATCAATTCATTTTAACCAATAAATTTGGTGATTAGTGACACTTTATAATATAGAGCTTAGAACAGGGGTGCTGAAATGTGAGTTATAAAGAAGTTTTAACTTTATAATATAGTCCTATTAGTTATAATGATAAGTATGCACTTTTTCGTGTTCATGTTAACCCCCTCAGACCTGAATTGTTTCAAGTTTCTGAAAAATATAAAAGTACATTTTCCCAGCTCATGAGGTTTCCATAAATGAAATCAAATGAATTATATATATATATATATATATATATATATATATATATATATATATATATATATATGTATGTAATTGCTTTCATTGTGATTTTTTTTGTCCATTCCAATGGAAATTAGGTCAAATTAGGTGTACTTCCCAAAAATGTACCAACATGAAGTAAATTAATAAACATAAAATTTGTTGGTCTATACTTTGAGCTTTTTCTCAAGCTCAAAAAAATTCCAGCAGTATACCATTTCAACTATAATTTTGAGGTTTTTGTTTTACAGATTGCACATTGCTTGTAACAAACTAAATATATTCGAATCAATCAATCTGGTCATATTGGAGTCATTTGTGTGTGCATCTTTCTTTTTTTAGAACAAAAAACTTGAACATTATAACATTACAACTTTAATCGTAAGGTTTTTCCTTTATATTGCACATTTGTTTATTCATAAAAAAATAAACCTAGGAATCAATCAATGCATTCATGCATTCGATAAATGCATTCAAAGGCACGCCCGACGAAGCTGATGGATCTTTTCTGGATGAGTGAATATATTGTCATTATCACACAATCACACAGTATCTTCTCAGTGTTTCCGACATGTTCATCATTCACTCATAATCTCCTCATTTCTGTTTCTATGCGCTGCTGGAACACAAAGCCAACATCGATGAGAAAGAACTGGGTAAGTGTTAAAACTGATGCAGCAAAAGTCAAACAAATTCATAAATTAACTATGAAAACCATTATCTTTTTTTAAAATAAATAAAAAAAATAAACATTGAATATTTTATTTTTAATGCCGTTTTGGATCACATTAGAGGATCATGTTCATTCAGAGCATTTGACTGAAGATGAAGAAATAAACTATACTTATTAATAAAACTGTCAGATTTGATTTCATGGTGACTTTAACACACAACATTACTGTAATTGTTCCAGAACATTAAGATATAGACCTGCAGATGATGAGGTGATAATCACACAGTGTTTCTTCATCTGTCCTCATTTCTGTTTCTATGTGCTGCAGAACATGAAGCGAAGGGCTGTGAAAATGAAATAAGTAAGTATTTTATACTGATGCAGTGATAGTAAAACTGATCTGTAGTAAACTGTGGTAAATTTATATATATATATATATATATATATATATATATGTAAGGGTTAATGCCCGACGAGGTGTCCATTGTCAGGTTTTAATGGACGACGGCGAGGCGTAAACCGGCCGACGCGCAGCGGAGGACGGTTGCCTCCGCCGAAGTCCATTAAAACCTGACAATGGACACCTCGGAGGGCATTAACCCGCTTATACCATGGTCACTTGCCAAATAAAACATTTTTAAACATTAGTTTATATTTTAATTAGGCTAAATCTAGTTTTTACAAATAATAACTTGCCTTGCCTACTGTTTATTTAGCAACCGGAGATATTTAGCCTATAGTCCGCTTAGCTCCCTTCAGGTTCACAAATGCATTTTTTTTTCATGAAACACAAAGGTAGAATAGTTTTTTTTTTTATTACACATAAAACAATTAATCAAACAACAATAAAAAAACAATTAGCTCTGAGCTCCAGCGATTTGCGCTTAACGTTATAGAGGGCAATAAATTAATCAGATCAAAGAGAGGGTCATTTGCCTCAGGCTCCTTAGGCTTGAAACGCTGTAACGTTCAGCCTTCTCCTGCCTTGGTTGTCTGGACAGCTGCGTAAAACTCCCGCAGGGTCTCATTCAGGGGTGCGTTTCCCGAAAGCATCGTCGTTATCCAACTATGGTCGCAAGTTACGTCGTTACCAATAGAGTTCAATGGAGCAGAGCAGCAGCGGTGTAATTTTCTCCGTTTTATTTACATTTTTTCTTTCTTCAGCAGCATACCAGTCGTCAAAGTTGCCATATTCTCCATAAATGTTAAAAGAAATAGCACGAAGTCGCTCATTGTTGTATTAGGCTATAATATCTAACGTTAGATGATAGAGCATGTGACTGCCTGTTGCTATGGTTACTCACAGCCGTTGTAGGCAGCGCATTTATTTATTAATTTCGAATGGTAAACAGGCAGTTTCACCAGAACTACTTTACTAGGTGTCCTCTATCACTTTTTAACGGACACCCTGCAGCCAATCAGAATCGAGTATTCACCCAGACCATGGTATAAATATATATATATATATATATAAGATGTTAATTCTGTATATGAAATCATCTGTTCATTCATTTATAATCTCCTCATTTCTGATTCTATGTTGCTGTGACATGAAGCAAAGATCTCGGAAAAGCTAAAGAAAATGTGTAAGTATTGCAGCGGATACAAAGGAAAAGTGAGCTTTATTGTGTTCAAATGTACAAAATCATGCAGAATATTTTAGTATGTAAATTTAATCTAGTTAATGTTGTGACATAATCACTGCATAAGAGACTCTCAGAGTCAAATTTGTTAAAGAGAAGCATTTATTCTTGCAAGAATAGGTTCGGTCTTTAACAGAGACGTGACCCTGTGCAGGAGTGAAGACAGAGCAAGGCAATCTTTATACGATTTCAAGGTCCTTTTCCATAGACAAAGGACACATTGCTAGTCTAGATCAGCTGATGAAGAATCACACAGTATATTCTCAGTGTTTCTGATCGCTCTCTAATAATCTCCTTATTTCTGTTTCTATGTGCTGCTGTTACACGAAGCCGATGACTGTAAAAGAGAAATACGTAAGTTTCACAGCTGATACAGCAAGATAAAAAGTAGTTTTATTGTGCTATAATCTAGACTTGTGCTGAGGAAACTCTTATGAAGAGTAATCGTTATTAAGAGTAATACACAATCATATTCCAAATAGCTAGAAAAAGGTCAAAACCAAATGCAGACATTGAAATCCAGGAAACTAGGCTAAAGATCAACACCATAACACAGGGAATCCCAGTGAGAGTGTAAACACAAAGTAGACTTCACAGCGTGAGAGTTAAACACAGGACTTGTATAGGCAGAGAAACACCTGAACAATGGCTTATAGGAATCATAGTCAATAATTCATCATTCATCATCTCTCAACTAATTTCAAATCAAAATGCTGTGGAAAGTATTGTTTATTAATTCACATTATGCTTTAATATTCACACACAACTTTACTGTAATTGTTACTGATCATTAATATAGTCATGTAGATGTAGAAGATGATGTGTTTCATCAGTGTTTCATCTATTCACTCATTTCTGTTTCGATGTGCTGTGACATGAAGCGGTGATCTCCAAACAACTACAGCAACTGCGTAAGTATTACAGCTGATACAACAGAACTGTCTACTGTAGTAGATTATAAATGATATTTAAGTCAATATTTATAAAGTTCTGCTTGTGAGTGATTGTCCAGTATTGAGCTGCATATTAAAATACTGATAACTAAAACATATACGATATTACAGTAAATCAAAAATCACATTCCTGCTGACTCTGGATCTGTTATTTTGAGTGTTGTCTGCGCTGTGTTCTGACATGTTCATCTGATCACTTGCTATAATCTCGTTTCTCTGTTTCTATGTCCTGCTGTAACAGATGAAGAGAAGATCCCAGAGCGACTGTGTACGTATTAAACCCGATGAAAGATAAGCTTTATAGTACGGAGGCGTATTGCATTCACTTGATGAAAAAAATCTACTCTGTTTTTCTGAATTACAAAGTTGATTATCTCAGAATTACGAGAATTTTTCATGGAAGAAAGTTTTTGCTCTGTTTTTCTTAATTAACGAGTTAATTTTTCATGAGAAAAACATTTTTGCTCTGTTTTTCTGAATTAACGAGTTAAATTTTCATGAGAATTTTTTTTGCTCTGTTTTTCTGAATTAATTAGTTAATTTTTCACGAGAAAAAAAATTTTGCTCTGTTTTTCTGAATTAACGAGTTCCATTAAAAAAATCCATTAAAAATCGAGTTCCAAAAAAAATCCATTAAAAATTAACTCATTAATTCAGAAAAACAGAGCAAAAAAAATTTCCATGAAAAATTAACTCACTAATTCAGAAAAAGAGCAAAAAAAAATTTCCATGAAAAATTAACTCGTTAATTCAGAGAAACAGAGTAGATTTTTTTCTTCAAGTGAATGCAATACGCCTCCGTATTATTGTGCTACAGCAGAAATCTTTTTTCTTTGCCAGTATTTATCATTTCTCAGCACATGTTCTGCTTGTGAGAGATTGAGGTGCATAATATTAATATATGATCTTTCACTTATAATCTCCTCATTTCTGTTTCCATGTGCTGCTGTAACCTGAAGCCGAGATCTCTGAAAACATAAAGAAAGTGTGTAAGTATCACAGCTGATGCAGTGAGTGAAAAAATCGCCTTTTTATGTGAGAGTAGAGTTTAACTTCTAGATATTACAGGTGTGAAACTGTCCTGAACTAATGAATAAATTACTATGAAAAGTATTGATGATTCATGTTAGTGTTAGATTTAATGGATTTTACTGATCATTAATAACAAGTTATAAGAAGCAGTGAGCACACAAAGAAACACACAGTACCTGTTCACACATTTCTGTTTCTATGTTCTGCTGTAACAGTTGAAAGCAAGAAACCTGGAAATCCAGAGCGACTGCGTAAGTATTACCACTAAGACAGCAAGTGTAACAAAACTTGATGGACCTTTTGATGGAAATAAATGTTTTGATGTTATTTCAATCAAGAGGTGCAGAGGTGCATCAGTTTCTTATAAGTTTCTTATGCTTTGCTAAAACTTAAAAGCTTGTAGAAATATAGACAATTTTATTACATGAGTGACTGAAAACAATGTAAAAAAAACACATGCAAGGAAAGCCACGTGTCTTTGATAATCTTTAATAAAGTCGTATCTCTACAGCTGGTTTAGTCCGAAATAGAAATGTGCCAAAAATGATAATTAATGGTTAATTTATTACAGACTTATATTATTATTATTATTTTAAGATTTTAAAAAGCAGAGTTGTGGTTAAAATTATGCATTTACTGAATGAGAACTAAGTCGCACGGAACAGAATTAAATATATTATTTTAAATTGTAATCTTTGAAACGCCTCTCGGGCATCAAGTGCAGCTCTCTTTGCATGGGGAAACATCAAATTCTCCAAAACCGTTCACCAAGCTTCTGAATACATGTCACATTTGAAAACACCAATGAAACTTGACAACAACAACAGTCTCAAAAAGCTTGTTCGTTATGTTCAAATAGTGTTAAAAAGTTTGTTTTCCAGCCAATGCGCATACGCAGTCATGTGCGCAAGTCTGCCTATTTCTATAACAACCGGAGCTTCAGCTGCAGTGATGAAATGACTTGCAAACACACACTTGATCTAATGTCTACTTTTTCTTTGTATTTCTCTATTTCTAGGCACTGATGTCCCAAAGATGGAGGAAGGTGAAGGGGAACGGCTCATACATGTTGAGGAGACAGCCTTAAGTCTAGCTATGGGTGATAACAAGACATCCATAGACCGACAGGGCAGGAGGACCATTGCAATCCGTAACCCCAGTACTGAACAAGCTGGAGATCATGGTGAGTCTTTTGATTTATTTATTTATTTTTTTATTGTAAGAAGGGATTAACTTCTAAAATTAACTCGTTAATTCAGAAAAACAGAGCACAAGAATTCATGAAAAATTAACTCGTTAATTCAGAAAAAGAGCAAAAAAAATTTCCATGAAAAATTAACTCGTTAATTCAGAAAAACAGAGCAAAAAAAAAAATTCCATGAAAAATTAACTCGTTAATTCAGAAAAACAGAGCAAAAAAAATTCCATGAAAAATTAACTCGTTAATTCAGAAAAACAGAGAAAAAAAATCCATGAAAAATTAACTCGTTAATTCAGAAAAACAGAGCAAAAAAAAATTCCATGAAAAATTAACTCGTTAATTCAGAAAAACAGAGCAAAAAAAAATTCCATGAAAATTTGACTCGTTAATTCAGAAAAAGAGCAAAAAAATTTCCATGAAAAATTAACTAGTTAATTCAGAAAAACAGAGCAAAAAAATTCCATGAAAAATTAACTTGTTAATTAACTCGTTAATTCAGAAAAAAAGAGCAAAAAAAATTTCCATGAAAAATTAACTCGTTAATTAACTCGTTAATTCAGAAAAACAGAGCAAAAAAATTTCCATGAAAAATTAACTTGTTAATTAACTCGTTAATTCAGAAAAACAGAGTAAAAAAAAATTCCATGAAAATTTACTCGTTAATTAACTCGTTAATTCAGAAAAACAGAGCAAAAAATTTCCATGAAAAATAAACTCGTTAATTCAGAAAAACAGAGGAAAAAAAATCTATGAAAAATTAACTCGTTAAAGATACAAGTTACAACATCTTTACACAAACACGTGTGCTTTTACTCTTTCGGATGTTTATGGGAACCATATTCCAAGCAACAGAACTTCGATAAAGCAAACTCTTTTTCATCAAATGTGTTTGTGACAAGCTAGAAAGAGTTGAGCCTTACACACTTGACGCGTTCTATAGTCATACAAATCCTGGTAATCCTCAACACACACTTGAACTAATGTCTACATTTTCGTTGTATTTTTCTATTTCTAGGCACTGATGTCCCAAAGATGGAGGAAGGTGAAGGGGAACGGCTCATACATGTTGAGGAGACTGTCTTAAGTCTAGCTATGGGTGATAACAAGACATCCATAGACCGACAGGGCAGGAGGACCATTGCAATCCGTAACCCCAGTACTGAACCTGCTGGAGATCATGGTGAGTCTTTTGATTCATTTATTTATTTTTTTATTGTAAGAAGGGATTAACTTCTAAAATTAACTCGTTAATTCAGAAAAACAGAGCACAAGAATTCATGAAAAATTAACTCGTTAATTCAGAAAAAGAGCAAAAAAAAAATTCCATGAAAAATTAACTCGTTAATTCAGAAAAAGAGCAAAAAAAATTTCCATGAAAAATTAACTCGTTAATTCAGAAAAACAGAGCAAAAAAAAATTCCATGAAAAATTAACTCGTTAATTCAGAAAAACAGAGCAAAAAAAAATTCCATGAAAAATTAACTCGTTAATTCAGAAAAACAGAGAAAAAAAAATCCATGAAAAATTAACTCGTTAATTCAGAAAAACAGAGCAAAAAAAAATTCCATGAAAAATTAACTCGTTAATTCAGAAAAACAGAGCAAAAAAAAATCCATGAAAATTTGACTCGTTAATTCAGAAAAAGAGCAAAAAAATTTCCATGAAAAATTAACTAGTTAATTCAGAAAAACAGAGCAAAAAAATTCCATGAAAAATTAACTTGTTAATTAACTCGTTAATTCAGAAAAAAAGAGCAAAAAAAATTTCCATGAAAAATTAACTCGTTAATTAACTCGTTAATTCAGAAAAACAGAGCAAAAAAATTTCCATGAAAAATTAACTTGTTAATTAACTCGTTAATTCAGAAAAACAGAGCAAAAAAAAAATTCCATGAAAAATTTACTCGTTAATTAACTCGTTAATTCAGAAAAACAGAGCAAAAAATTTCCATGAAAAATAAACTCGTTAATTCAGAAAAACAGAGGAAAAAAAATCTATGAAAAATTAACTCGTTAAAGATACAAGTTACAACATCTTTACACAAACACGTGTGCTTTTACTCTTTCGGATGTTTATGGGAACCATATTCCAAGCAACAGAACTTCGATAAAGCAAACTCTTTTTCATCAAATGTGTTTGTGACAAGCTAGAAAGAGTTGAGCCTTACACACTTGACGCATTCTATAGTCATACAAATCCTGGTAATCCTCAACACACACTTGAACTAATGTCTACATTTTCGTTGTATTTTTCTATTTCTAGGCACTGATGTCCCAAAGATGGAGGAAGGTGAAGGGGAACGGCTCATACATGTTGAGGAGACTGTCTTAAGTCTAGCTATGGGTGATAACAAGACATCCATAGACCGACAGGGCAGGAGGACCATTGCAATCCGTAACCCCAGTACTGAACCTGCTGGAGATCATGGTGAGTCTTTTGATTGATTTATTTATTTTTTTATTGTAAGAAGGGATTAACTTCTAAAATTAACTCGTTAATTCAGAAAAACAGAGCACAAGAATTCATGAAAAATTAACTCGTTAATTCAGAAAAAGAGCAAAAAAAATTTCCATGAAAAATTAACTCGTTAATTCAGAAAAACAGAGCAAAAAAAAAAATTCCATGAAAAATTAACTCGTTAATTCAGAAAAACAGAGCAAAAAAAAATTCCATGAAAAATTAACTCGTTAATTCAGAAAAACAGAGAAAAAAAATCCATGAAAAATTAACTCGTTAATTCAGAAAAACAGAGCAAAAAAAAATTCCATGAAAATTTGACTCGTTAATTCAGAAAAAGAGCAAAAAAATTTCCATGAAAAATTAACTAGTTAATTCAGAAAAACAGAGCAAAAAAATTCCATGAAAAATTAACTTGTTAATTAACTCGTTAATTCAGAAAAAAAGAGCAAAAAAAATTTCCATGAAAAATTAACTCGTTAATTAACTCGTTAATTCAGAAAAACAGAGCAAAAAAATTTCCATGAAAAATTAACTTGTTAATTAACTCGTTAATTCAGAAAAACAGAGTAAAAAAAAAATTCCATGAAAAATTTACTCGTTAATTAACTCGTTAATTCAGAAAAACAGAGCAAAAAATTTCCATGAAAAATAAACTCGTTAATTCAGAAAAACAGAGGAAAAAAATCTATGAAAAATTAACTCGTTAAAGATACAAGTTACAACATCTTTACACAAACACGTGTGCTTTTACTCTTTCGGATGTTTATGGGAACCATATTCCAAGCAACAGAACTTCGATAAAGCAAACTCTTTTTCATCAAATGTGTTTGTGACAAGCTAGAAAGAGTTGAGCCTTACACACTTGACGCGTTCTATAGTCATACAAATCCTGGTAATCCTCAACACACACTTGAACTAATGTCTACATTTTCGTTGTATTTTTCTATTTCTAGGCACTGATGTCCCAAAGATGGAGGAAGGTGAAGGGGAACGGCTCATACATGTTGAGGAGACTGTCTTAAGTCTAGCTATGGGTGATAACAAGACATCCATAGACCGACAGGGCAGGAGGACCATTGCAATCCGTAACCCCAGTACTGAACCTGCTGGAGATCATGGTGAGTCTTTTGATTGATTTATTTATTTTTTTATTGTAAGAAGGGATTAACTTCTAAAATTAACTCGTTAATTCAGAAAAACAGAGCACAAGAATTCATGAAAAATTAACTCGTTAATTCAGAAAAAGAGCAAAAAAAATTTCCATGAAAAATTAACTCATTAATTCAGAAAAACAGAGCAAAAAAAAAAATTCCATGAAAAATTAACTCGTTAATTCAGAAAAACAGAGCAAAAAAAAATTCCATGAAAAATTAACTCGTTAATTCAGAAAAACAGAGAAAAAAAATCCATGAAAAATTAACTCGTTAATTCAGAAAAACAGAGCAAAAAAAATTCCATGAAAATTTGACTCGTTAATTCAGAAAAAGAGCAAAAAAATTTCCATGAAAAATTAACTAGTTAATTCAGAAAAACAGAGCAAAAAAATTCCATGAAAAATTAACTTGTTAATTAACTCGTTAATTCAGAAAAAAAGAGCAAAAAAAATTTCCATGAAAAATTAACTCGTTAATTAACTCGTTAATTCAGAAAAACAGAGCAAAAAAATTTCCATGAAAAATTAACTTGTTAATTAACTCGTTAATTCAGAAAAACAGAGTAAAAAAAAAATTCCATGAAAAATTTACTCGTTAATTAACTCGTTAATTCAGAAAAACAGAGCAAAAAATTTCCATGAAAAATAAACTCGTTAATTCAGAAAAACAGAGGAAAAAAAATCTATGAAAAATTAACTCGTTAAAGATACAAGTTACAACATCTTTACACAAACACGTGTGCTTTTACTCTTTCGGATGTTTATGGGAACCATATTCCAAGCAACAGAACTTCGATAAAGCAAACTCTTTTTCATCAAATGTGTTTGTGACAAGCTAGAAAGAGTTGAGCCTTACACACTTGACGCGTTCTATAGTCATACAAATCCTGGTAATCCTCAACACACACTTGAACTAATGTCTACATTTTCGTTGTATTTTTCTATTTCTAGGCACTGATGTCCCAAAGATGGAGGAAGGTGAAGGGGAACGGCTCATACATGTTGAGGAGACTGTCTTAAGTCTAGCTATGGGTGATAACAAGACATCCATAGACCGACAGGGCAGGAGGACCATTGCAATCCGTAACCCCAGTACTGAACCTGCTGGAGATCATGGTGAGTCTTTTGATTCATTTATTTATTTTTTTATTGTAAGAAGGGATTAACTTCTAAAATTAACTCGTTAATTCAGAAAAACAGAGCACAAGAATTCATGAAAAATTAACTCGTTAATTCAGAAAAAGAGCAAAAAAATTTCCATGAAAAATTAACTCGTTAATTCAGAAAAACAGAGCAAAAAAAAAAATTCCATGAAAAATTAACTCGTTAATTCAGAAAAAGAGCAAAAAAAATTTCCATGAAAAATTAACTCGTTAATTCAGAAAAACAGAGCAAAAAAAAAAATTCCATGAAAAATTAACTCGTTAATTCAGAAAAACAGAGCAAAAAAAAATTCCATGAAAAATTAACTCGTTAATTCAGAAAAACAGAGAAAAAAAAATCCATGAAAAATTAACTCGTTAATTCAGAAAAACAGAGCAAAAAAAAATTCCATGAAAAATTAACTCGTTAATTCAGAAAAACAGAGCAAAAAAAAATCCATGAAAATTTGACTCGTTAATTCAGAAAAAGAGCAAAAAAATTTCCATGAAAAATTAACTAGTTAATTCAGAAAAACAGAGCAAAAAAATTCCATGAAAAATTAACTTGTTAATTAACTCGTTAATTCAGAAAAAAAGAGCAAAAAAAATTTCCATGAAAAATTAACTCGTTAATTAACTCGTTAATTCAGAAAAACAGAGCAAAAAAATTTCCATGAAAAATTAACTTGTTAATTAACTCGTTAATTCAGAAAAACAGAGCAAAAAAAAAATTCCATGAAAAATTTACTCGTTAATTAACTCGTTAATTCAGAAAAACAGAGCAAAAAATTTCCATGAAAAATAAACTCGTTAATTCAGAAAAACAGAGGAAAAAAATCTATGAAAAATTAACTCGTTAAAGATACAAGTTACAACATCTTTACACAAACACGTGTGCTTTTACTCTTTCGGATGTTTATGGGAACCATATTCCAAGCAACAGGACTTCGATAAAGCAAACTCTTTTTCATCAAATGTGTTTGTGACAAGCTAGAAAGAGTTGAGCCTTACACACTTGACGCGTTCTATAGTCATACAAATCCTGGTAATCCTCAACACACACTTGAACTAATGTCTACTTTTTCTTTGTATTTTTCTATTTCTAGGCACTGATGTCCCAAAGATGGAGGAAGGTGAAGGGGAACGGCTCATACATGTTGAGGAGACTGTCTTAAGTCTAGCTATGGGTGATAACAAGACATCCATAGACCGACAGGGCAGGAGGACCATTGCAATCCGTAACCCCAGTACTGAACCTGCTGGAGATCATGGTGAGTCTTTTGATTGATTTATTTATTTTTTTATTGTAAGAAGGGATTAACTTCTAAAATTAACTCGTTAATTCAGAAAAACAGAGCACAAGAATTCATGAAAAATTAACTCGTTAATTCAGAAAAAGAGCAAAAAAAATTTCCATGAAAAATTAACTCATTAATTCAGAAAAACAGAGCAAAAAAAAAATTCCATGAAAAATTAACTTGTTAATTCAGAAAAACAGAGCAAAAAAATTCCATGAAAAATTAACTTGTTAATTCAGAAAAACAGAGCAAAAAAATTCATGAAAAAATAACTCATTAATTCAGAAAAACAGAGCAAAAAAAATTCATGAAAAATTAACTTGTTAATTCAGAAAAACAGAGCAAAAACGTTTTTTTTTTAAACTGGTGTTTTGTAAACATTTCCCTGTTACTTTCGTTTCAGACTCAGAACCTAACATGTCATCAGTTAACATCTGACCCGTCAACGAGTCAGCTAAAGCAACTTGGTCTGCTTTCGCTAACTGAGCGCGTGTAACAGCACAGGCAGAAAATACGTCAGGATACAGATTAGCCACATCGTTAGAAATCGCACACACCTCTGGAACATCAGTCACCTCGGGCACGGGCATGACTTTGCCTCCGGCCAAATCATTCCCTAGGATAAAGGTTATTCCTTTCACAGGCAGGGAATCACGAATACCAACCTTCACAAATCCTGAAACTAGTGAACTGTTTAAGTACACACGATGCAAAGGAACTGGTACTATTTGCATTTCAATACCAGGAACTAGAATATTCGAGCCACAATATGATTCCTCAGAAAAAGGCAACACCTTACATACCATGAGTGACTGCATAGCCCCTGTATCTCGAAGAATATGAACTTCTTTCTGATCTTTCATTCTTCCAGATAATGAAACAAACCCTTTCCTCACAAACGGCTTATAATTCACATCAGGAATCTCAGTACAATTTGACAATTCCGATGATTGCACAGTCTTGAGTAACGCGACACTTTTAGGAGGCTGCATCTGCTGCTTTCGTTTCAGCACCACACAGTCCGCAATTAAATGTCCCTGCTTATGGCAGTAGAAACACTCTCTTACCTCTTTTGACTGTGAAGTTTCAGTTTTTACTCGGACACTCTGACTGGGTGGCGGGGAGCAAGTCACGCTCTTTTCAGCGCGTGTTACTGAAAATGCTGTCTTATGCGTGAGTACGAATTCATCTGCCAAGACCGCAGCACGAGACAGTGAATCAACTTTTTGTTCATTTAAGTACACCACCACACGTTCAGAAAGACATGATTTAAATTCCTCCAGCAGAAGTAATTCTCTCAACGAAACAAAGTTATCAGCTTTGCTTGCATTACTCCATTTGTCAAACAGACTACTTTTATCCCTTGCGAATTCTACAAAAGTCTGGTTAGAACTCTTTTTATGGCTTCGAAACTTTTGTCTGTATGCCTCTGGGACTAGCTCATATACGCACGTAATATTGCCGATTTCACAGTCTCATACTCTAAACCATCCCCCAAAGAAAGAGTGGAAAAGACTTCTTGCGCTTTTCCCATCAATCTGCACTGCAACAGAATAGCCCAAACCTCTCTCGGCCAAACGAGTGATAGAGCAATACGCTCAAAAGCGCTGAAGTATGAGTCCACCTCAGTCTCTCTAAAATGTGGAACTAGCGTAATACATCGAATGACCCAGCTGCTAACGATGGAGAAGCTGATGACCCTAGTGGTTGAGTATGAACAGAGGACACAGTTGCCAACGGTGGAGTATGAACATGAGGAACGCTGATATCTCGAGGTGGAGGCGGTTGCGCAGCAGAGCTCCCCACAATTTTCATTGCCTCGAGCTCCAACTCTCGCATTTTTATCTGTTTCTCTGCCTCAATTTCAAATTTGCGGATTTGTAATCGCAAATCCAACTCACCCTGACGATTCTGCACTTTCTCTTGTGCTTCCAGCTGCAATCGAGCAAGACGAACTTTCAGTCTCGCATCTCCCTTTGAATTTATAGAAGTAGGAGAGAACGGTTCAAATTGAGGTAGTGTTTTATTTCCTTCCCCTATTGGCGTAAACCCCTCACCTCTCGATGTTTCAATATCCACATCGCACTCTATATCCTCTTTGTCTGGTACCACAAGCACATTCATCTCTACTAACTGCTCACATTTAATGGATTTTATTTCCCTCTTAAGAGACTGTCGAACCACAACGATCTGAAAATGTTTCGCGATTTCTAACAAATCATCCTTTCTGCAGCAATCTAACAATTCTACAGTAGGATTTTTAATAAAACTTTCCAAATCAAACGTTGCCATTATTCCTGCTGATCAAATCTACTAGCCTACAAATAGCAAGGGTGTCTCGGGACAATCAATTAATCAATCCAATATTAATTAATTTCCAGGAAGAATTAAGATCCCGGACGAGCCCCCATTAATGTTAAGACCCTTCTTAGATTTTAGCCGTCTAGGGATTTAGAAGGGGAACATTGATCATCCCTCGACCCCAACCAAAGAAACACTGGGAAGTGAGTGAGAGAAACAAAGGCAGTAGAATATTTAAGGTTTCTTTTTTTTATTGCTGGCCACAACCGGTCAAAATAGCTCTCCATAAAATATATGTACATCACACATTTTCATGAAGAAACAATTCAAACAAATATTAACCAATCAATAAAGTAACATAAACATACCAGCAAATTATGTATTCATTCTGGGAAAGGAAAAGGGCAAATGGACAGTGCCAACTCAAAGAAATTAATAAAAAGAAAACAATCTTTCTTACCCGAATTTAATCTAACCTAACTAATAAAAAAATAAAATGTAGAAAAGAAAGATCTTCAACGTCCACGACGTCGTATACTTCCCTACGCTAACTAACCAAAACAAAAATACACCAGTGGCACTTGTCCCTAAATCTAGTGTTTTTAAACAAAGAAAAAAACTACATGTGCGCAATGTATGTCACGTGACAGCTTACCTGACCCTTTTCTTTATCCCACCTTTAATAAAGCATCATTACTCAAGTTCACATAATGAGTAAAGAAGTTCAGGTTTAAGACACTCTAATTCACATGACAAACTTAATATAAACGAACTAATTCAATATTCAAACGAATGTCAACAAAAACGTAACCAAAGGACTCAGCACACGGTTGCAGTTCACAAAACAAAAGGCTGGCCACACAATCGCGTTCAGGTGCTCCTTTTATAGTTCCCGCATCTCCTGATGATCCCCGTGATTGGATCGCTCTTTCCCTCCTCTCTGATGACAAGCCTCAGGGATCAGCCAATGACCGTAACCAGGACAACCAATCAGCGCTTCTCTGCGACAGAGAAAGTAACACGGCAAAAACACGAAGAAACACAGAGACACCCAAAGTCGCAATCTCGTGTAATCGCCTTTATTCGTAAAACTCACGAAATACATGATAGTAAGTGGCTGGTGAACTGGGAGAAGAATAGGGTCAAATGTTAAGCTACTTACACAATGTGTATCTGATATGAATAAAACGTGTCGTCTTATTATAATTGAAAGGATTATTATTGCCGCTTCCATAGACATCTGTGTGTATTTTACAAACTCAAAATCATTGTTTTGCTAGTAAATATGTGTATTTAAATGTCTGAAACCTAAAATAAACATTATGTGGTTGAAAACACTCAATAGTTGTGATCTATGACAGCACTGAGTGCATCTAACTCTGGCTGAGCGCCAGCCAACGCGCGAGAGCAAGTTTGAATTTAACAGTTGCTGACGTGATGCACTGAACGTTCTAATCACATCGGTGTGATCGTACGCTCCAGGGACCAGCCCAGACTGATCACACCGGTGTGATCGTACGCGTGAAAGGGTTAATTCAGAAAAAAAAAAAACAGAGCAAAAACTTTTTTTCTCATAAAAAATTAACTCATTAAATTCAGAAAAACAGAGCAAAAAAAAAATTCCATGAAAAATTAACTCGTTAATTAAAAAAAACAGAGCAAAAAAAAAAAAATCCATGAAAAATTAACTCGTTAATTCAGGAAAACAGAGCAAAAAAATTCATGAAAATTAACTTGTTAATTCAGAAAAACAGACCAAAAAAAATTCCATGACAAATTAACTCGTTAATTCAGAAAAACAGACCAAAAAAATTCATGAAAATTGACTTGTTAATTCAGAAAAACAGAGTAAAAAAAATTCCATGAAAAATTAACTCGTTAATTAACTTGTTAATTCAGAAAAACAGAGCAAAAAAAAATTTCCATGAAAAATTCACTCGTTAATTCAGAAAAACAGAGCAAAACAATTTCCATGAAAATTTAACTCGTTAATTCAGAAAAAGAGCAAAAAAGTTTCCATGAAAAATTAACTCGTTAATTCAGAAAAACAGAGCAAAAAAATTCCATGAAAAATTAACTCGTTACTTAACTTGTTAATTCAGAAAAACAGAGCAAAAAAAATTCCATGAAAAATTAACTTGTTAATTAACTCGTTAATTCAGAAAAACAGAGCAAAAAAATTTCCATGAAAAATTAACTTGTTAATTAACTCGTTAATTCAGAAAAGCAGAGCAAAAAAAAAATTCCATGAAAAATTAACTCGTTAATTAACTCGTTAATTCAGAAAAGCAGAGCAAAAAAAAATTCCATGAAAAATTAACTCGTTAATTAACTCGTTAATTCAGAAAAACAGAGCAAAAAAAATTTCCATGAAAAATTAACTCGTTAATTCAGAAAAACAGAGCAAAAAAAATTCCATGAAAATTTGACTCGTTAATTCAGAAAAAGAGCAAAAAAATTTCCATGAAAAATTAACTAGTTAATTCAGAAAAACAGAGCAAAAAAATTCCATGAAAAATTAACTTGTTAATTAACTCGTTAATTCAGAAAAAAGAGCAAAAAAAATTTCCATGAAAAATTAACTTGTTAATTAACTCGTTAATTCAGAAAAACAGAGCAAAAAAAAATTCCATGAAAAATTAACTCGTTAATTAACTTGTTAATTCAGAAAAACAGAGCAAAAAATTTCCATGAAAAATAAACTCGTTAATTCAGAAAAACAGAGGAAAAAAAATTCTATGAAAAATTAACTCGTTAAAGATACAAGTTACAACATCTTTACACAAACACGTGTGCTTTTACTCTTTCGGATGTTTATGGGAACCATATTCCAAGCAACAGAACTTCGATAAAGCAAACTCTTTTTCATCAAATGTGTTTGTGACAAGCTAGAAAGAGTTGAGCCTTACACACTTGACGCGTTCTATAGTCATACAAATCCTGGTAATCCTCAACACACACTTGAACTAATGTCTACATTTTCGTTGTATTTTTCTATTTCTAGGCACTGATGTCCCAAAGATGGAGGAAGGTGAAGGGGAACGGCTCATACATGTTGAGGAGACTGCCTTAAGTCTAGCTATGGGTGATAACAAGACATCCATAGACCCACAGGGCAGGAGGACCATTGCAATCCGTAACCCCAGTACTGAACCTGCTGGAGATCATGGTGAGTCTTTTGATTGATCTTTTTTATTGTTTTATTGTAAGAAGGGATTAACTTCTAAAATTAACTCGTTAATTCAGAAAAACAGAGCAAAAAAAAAATCCATGAAAAATTAACTCGTTAATTCAGGAAAACAGAGCAAAAAAATTCATGAAAATTAACTTGTTAATTCAGAAAAACAGAGCAAAAAAATTCCATGACAAATTAACTCGTTTATTCAGAAAAACAGACCAAAAAAATTCATGAAAATTGACTTGTTAATTCAAAAAAACAGACTAAAAAAAATTACATGAAAAATTAACTTGTTAATTAACTCATTAATTCAGAAAAACAGAGCAAAAAAATTTCCATGAAAATTTAACTCGTTAATTCAGAAAAAGAGCAAAAAAATTTCCATGAAAAATTAACTCGTTAATTCAGAAAAACAGAGCAAAAAAAATTCCATGAAAAATTAACTTGTTAATTAACTCGTTAATTCAGAAAAGCAGAGCAAAAAAAATTCCATGAAAAATTAACTCGTTAATTAACTCGTTAATTCAGAAAAGCAGAGCAAAAAAAAATTCCATGAAAAATTAACTCGTTAATTAACTCGTTAATTCAGAAAAACTGAGCAAAAAAAATTTTCCATGAAAAATTAACTTGTTAATTCAGAAAAAGAGCAAAAAAAATTCCATGAAAAATTAACTAGTTAATTCAGAAAAACAGAGCAAAAAAATTTCCATGAAAATTTAACTCGTTAATTCAGAAAAAGAGCAAAAAAATTTCCATGAAAAATTAACTCGTTAATTCAGAAAAACAGAGCAAAAAAATTTCCATGAAAATTTAACTCGTTAATTCAGAAAAAGAGCAAAAAAATTTCCATGAAAAATTAACTCGTTAATTAACTTGTTAATTCAGAAAAACAGAGCAAAAAAAATTCCATTAAAAATTAACTCGTTAATTCAGAAAAACAGAGCAAAAAAATTTCCATGAAAAATTAACTTGTTAATTAACTCGTTAATTCAGAAAAGCAGAGCAAAAAAAAATTCCATGAAAAATTAACTCGTTAATTAACTCGTTAATTCAGAAAAGCAGAGCAAAAAAAATTCCATGAAAAATTAACTCGTTAATTAACTCGTTAATTCAGAAAAACAGAGCAAAAAAAATTTCCATGAAAAATTAACTCGTTAATTCAGAAAAAGAGCAAAAAAATTTCCATGAAAAATTAACTAGTTAATTCAAAAAAACAGAGCAAAAAAATTCCATGAAAAATTAACTTGTTAATTAACTCGTTAATTCAGAAAAAAAGAGCAAAAAAAATTTCCATGAAAAATTTACTCGTTAATTCAGAAAACAGAGCAAAAAAATTTCCATGAAAAATTAACTTGTTAATTAACTCGTTAATTCAGAAAAACAGAGCAAAAAAAAATTCCATGAAAAATTAACTCGTTAATTAACTCGTTAATTCAGAAAAACAGAGCAAAAAAAATTCCATGAAAAATAAACTCGTTAATTCAGAAAAACAGAGGAAAAAAAATTCTATGAAAAATTAACTCGTTAAAGATACAAGTTACAACATCTTTACACAAACACGTGTGCTTTTACTCTTTTGGATGTTTATGGGAACCATATTCCAAGCAACAGAACTTCGATAAAGCAAACTCTTTTTCATCAAATGTGTTTGTGACAAGCTAGAAAGAGTTGAGCCGTACACACTTGACGCGTTCTATAGTCATACAAATCCTGGTAATCCTCAACACACACTTGATCTAATGTCTACTTCTTCTTTGTATTTTTCTATTTCTAGGCACTGATGTCCCAAAGATGGAGGAAGGTGAAGGGGAACGGCTCATACATGTTGAGGAGACTGCCTTAAGTCTAGCTATGGGTGATAACAAGACATCCATAGACCGACAGGGCAGGAGGACCATTGCACTCCGTAACCCCAGTACTGAACAAGCTGGAGATCATGGTGAGTCTTTTGATTCATCTTTTTATTTTTTTATTGTAAGAAGGGATTAACTTCTAAAATTAACTCGTTAATTCAGAAAAACAGAGCAAAAACTTTTTTCTCATGAAAAATTAACTCGTTAATTCAGAAAAACAGAGCAAAAAAAAATTCCATGAAAAATTAACTCGTTAATTCAGAAAAACAGAGCAAAAACTTTTTTTCTCATGAAAAATTAACTCGTTAATTCAGAAAAACAGAGCAAAAAAAAATTCCATGAAAAATTAACTCGTTAATTCAGAAAAACAGAGCAAAAACTTTTTTCTCATGAAAAATTAACTCGTTAATTCAGAAAAACAGAGCACAAAAAATTCCATGAAAAATTATCTCGTTAATTCAGAAAAACAGAGCAAAAAAAAAATTCCATGAAAAATTAACTCGTTAATTCAGAAAAACAGAGCAAAAACTTTTTTCTCATAAAAAATTAACTCGTTAATTCAGAAAAACAGAGCAAAAAAAATTCCATGAAAAATTAACTCGTTAATTCAGAAAAACAGAGCAAAAAAAATTTCCATGAAAAATTAACTCGTTAATTCAGAAAAAGAGCAAAAAAATTTCCATGAAAAATTAACTAGTTAATTCAGAAAAACAGAGCAAAAAAATTCCATGAAAAATTAACTTGTTAATTAACTCGTTAATTCAGAAAAAAGAGCAAAAAAAATTTCCATGAAAAATTAACTCGTTAATTCAGAAAAACAGAGCAAAAAAATTTCCATGAAAAATTAACTTGTTAATTAACTCGTTAATTCAGAAAAACAGAGCAAAAAAAAAAATTCCATGAAAAATTAACTCGTTAATTAACTCGTTAATTCAGAAAAACAGAGCAAAAAAAATTCCATGAAAAATAAACTCGTTAATTCAGAAAAACAGAGGAAAAAAAATTCTATGAAAAATTAACTCGTTAAAGATACAAGTTACAACATCTTTACACAAACACGTGTGCTTTTACTCTTTCGGATGTTTATGGGAACCATATTCCAAGCAACAGAACTTCGATAAAGCAAACTCTTTTTCATCAAATGTGTTTGTGACAAGCTAGAAAGAGTTGAGCCGTACACACTTGACGCGTTCTATAGTCATACAAATCCTGGTAATCCTCAACACACACTTGAACTAATGTCTACATTTTCGTTGTATTTTTCTATTTCTAGGCACTGATGTCCCAAAGATGGAGGAAGGTGAAGGGGAACGGCTCATACATGTTGAGGAGACTGCCTTAAGTCTAGCTATGGGTGATAACAAGACATCCATAGACCCACAGGGCAGGAGGACCATTGCAATCCGTAACCCCAGTACTAAACCTGCTGGAGATCATGGTGAGTCTTTTGATTTATCTTTTTATTTTTTTATTGTAAGAAGGGATTAACTTCTAAAATTAACTCGTTAATTCAGAAAAACAGAGCAAAAAAATTTCCATGAAAATTTAACTCGTTAATTCAGAAAAAGAGCAAAAAAATTTCCATGAAAAATTAACTCGTTAATTCAGAAAAACAGAGCAAAAAAATTCCATGAAAAATTAACTTGTTAATTAACTCGTTAATTCAGAAAAGCAGAGCAAAAAAAATTCCATGAAAATTAACTCGTTAATTAACTCGTTAATTCAGAAAAGCAGAGCAAAAAAAAAATTCCATGAAAAATTAACTCGTTAATTAACTCGTTAATTCAGAAAAACTGAGCAAAAAAAAATTTCCATGAAAAATTAACTTGTTAATTCAGAAAAAGAGCAAAAAAAATTCCATGAAAAATTAACTAGTTAATTCAGAAAAACAGAGCAAAAAAATTTCCATGAAAATTTAACTCGTTAATTCAGAAAAAGAGCAAAAAAATTTCCATGAAAAATTAACTCGTTAATTCAGAAAAACAGAGCAAAAAAATTTCCATGAAAATTTAACTCGTTAATTCAGAAAAAGAGCAAAAAAAATTTCCATGAAAAATTAACTCGTTAATTAACTTGTTAATTCAGAAAAACAGAGCAAAAAAAATTCCATTAAAAATTAACTCGTTAATTCAGAAAAACAGAGCAAAAAAATTTCCATGAAAAATTAACTTGTTAATTAACTCGTTAATTCAGAAAAGCAGAGCAAAAAAAAAATTCCATAAAAAATTAACTCGTTAATTAACTCGTTAATTCAGAAAAGCAGAGCAAAAAAAAATTCCATGAAAAATTAACTCGTTAATTAACTCGTTAATTCAGAAAAACAGAGCAAAAAAAATTTCCATGAAAATTAACTCGTTAATTCAGAAAAAGAGCAAAAAAATTTCCATGAAAAATTAACTAGTTAATTCAGAAAAACAGAGCAAAAAAATTCCATGAAAAATTAACTTGTTAATTAACTCGTTAATTCAGAAAAAAAGAGCAAAAAAAATTTCCATGAAAAATTTACTCGTTAATTCAGAAAAACAGAGCAAAAAAATTTCCATGAAAAATTAACTTGTTAATTAACTCGTTAATTCAGAAAAACAGAGCAAAAAAAAATTCCATGAAAAATTAACTCGTTAATTAACTCGTTAATTCAGAAAAACAGAGCAAAAAAAATTCCATGAAAAATAAACTCGTTAATTCAGAAAAACAGAGGAAAAAAAATTCTATGAAAAATTAACTCGTTAAAGATACAAGTTACAACATCTTTACACAAACACGTGTGCACGTGTGAACCATATTCCAAGCAACAGAACTTCGATAAAGCAAACTCTTTTTCATCAAATGTGTTTGTGACAAGCTAGAAAGAGTTGAGCCTTACACACTTGACGCGTTCTATAGTCATACAAATCCTGGTAATCCTCAACACACACTTGAACTAATGTCTACTTTTTCTTTGTATTTTTCTATTTCTAGGCACTGATGTCCCAAAGATGGAGGAAGGTGAAGGGGAACGGCTCATACATGTTGAGGAGACTGTCTTAAGTCTAGCGATGGGTGATAACAAGACATCCATAGACCGACAGGGCAGGAGGACCATTGCAATCCGTAACCCCAGTACTGAACAAGCTGGAGATCATGGTGAGTCTTTTGATTTATTTATTTATTTTTTTTATTGTAAGATGGGATTGTTCATTTAATAATTTTTACACATAATTATGATTGTTACTGCCAGGAGAAAACAGCGGTAACGCTTCCTTTTACAGTCCAGTTACCCATGTAAATACTATGTACTTTTTTTAGTAACTACAATTACTGGGTAATAAATAGTACTACCCTAAACCTACCTCTGTTCCATGTACTTACCTTAAATTAGCCAGTACTTTCTAGGTAAGTACACTGTAAGTACTGTACTGTAAAAGGAAGCATTACCAAAACAGCCTGTTTGTCCACATAACATGATCACACTGAAATTCCCATGCCGTTGAGTAGAAAGTTGGTGCAATATGCTATTGTCAATTACTTTGTACATCTACTTTCTATTTGTAATTTGATGGTTAATTATTGACATTTTGATCGCTCATGAATGACTTAAGAATTGATTTCTAAATTTCTCTCTTATATTAATGTCTGTGATTGTCCCCTTCCAGAATCATCAGGAAGAGAAACACCTTCTATTGGCCAAATAGATGATGATGATGATGGAGGAGAGAATTAGCAGTAGAAGAAGAGTTTAGTTTAATGAGATAAGACACGCCTACCAGTGTCAATCACTGTGACATCATCAACATTTCAGCTCAGTCTTTTATAAGCTTCTAGAAACATCTGATGAAAGTGAGAACGAGTTTTTTGAGTAGTGTGTGAAAATCTTCATGGGTTTAGATGAACTGGGAAATGTGCTGATGGAAACACTGCCATATATAATTGTGCTAATGCTTCACTACAAGTGTTACTCTTAACATAATACTAATATGACTCTCAAACCTTTGATCACATATATTTTTAAAGATGTGTTTTACCACAGCAGTAAAACCATTCTATGTGCTGTTTTATTTAATTAACACTAGTACAAGTTTTTTTTTTAGTTTTGTTTTTTGGTCAAGTAAAACCAAGTAGCAAAGTACACACTGCACTAGTTTAAAGGCAAAACAACCTACGAGTGTCTGCCTTGAAGAGTCATTAAAGGGATAGTTCACCCAAAAATGTAAATCCTGTATTTACTTACTTCATCTACTTTTTCCAATAGTTTTGTTTGTTCCTACTATGAAAGTCAATGAATACTGTCAACTGTCTGGTCACCAACATTCTTCAAAATATCTCCCTTTGTGTTTAGAAGAAAAGAAAAAAAACTGATTTGGAACAACATACAGGCGACTAAACAAAGACAGGATTTTCATTTTTAAGTGAACTATCCCTTTAAGTATTTATTGGGTTTGTTCAACTATACATTGACTTCTTCAACTACTGTATATGTTTAGATGCATCGGTTTGCTCAAGTATATATTGGGTTTGTTCAAGTATACATCTGTTGGATCAAGTATGTCTTCTTCTTGTTTTTTCCAATTATAAATTGGTTTGTACACATATATATATATATATATGTGGAGGGCAAATTATATTTTTTCAAAAATATATGACTTTATGAATTTGGCCATTCCTTTACCAAATGTGTGAATGACCAAACATTTTTTAGAAGAAAACATTTACATAAAAAATATTTTAGCAAATGTATTTCTGGCAATTTTGTTTTGTATATTTTGAAATATGTATTTGAAAAAATATATGTGAAAAAATTACATGGCGTATATTTTTGGCTATTTTTTTTTTCTTCCATTTTGTAAGTCAGAAATGTCCACATATAATATAAGCCTTACTCTTTTTCCAAACCCTCAGATGCCTAAAGGGGGTCAAACTGATCTGACACTTTTTTTTTTTTTTTTTTTTTGCATAATATGATTATATTTGCAAAATAATTAAATTCCCCATTATTTTTCAGCTTTTGCATATACATTTCCACTTGGGTTGTTCTAAATATGTCTGGATATTAAATACAAATTATATATATATATAGTTATTTTGCTATATAAACGATTTGTCTATGTCCTATATATTGAATGCCACATTTAAGCATATTTATAAAATAAATTATAAAACTCCATTATATGACTGACAGACAAGAACGGTTTGACCTAAAAATATCAAAATTGGCATGGTTTTACTTCAGTTAGCCTAATAGCTGGTTTGATTTGCATTGAAAGATGATCTTATGGAAAGTACCCCATGCCAATCTCTAGGTGTGGTGGAAGGTGTGTGATGATGTGGGGATATTTTAATTCCAAAGTCCAAGGGAACTTTATCACGATGCATATTATCCTGGATCCATGAAATAACTGGCTTTTAAAAATAAAAATCTGCCTAACTCTATGGGAATTTAACATAGGGGGGCAATGACTTATGCACCCTTTATTTTAAGGAAAAACATTTATTTATTTATGATACATTATTCATTCACAAAGAAAATTTGTGTCCTTAAAGGTTGGAGTTTTCCTCATTTTTCTAATTAAGGCATTAAGATCAACATCCAAAAGATGATTTTTTTATTCCTCTTCAAAATTTTGGGATCTTAATATCTCAGCTCTGGAAGGGTCTAGAGCCTCCATTTTTGCTCTCAGGTCTAAGTCCCATGGCCCTTTATCAGAATCCAGAGTTTGAAGAAGATTGGAGAAACTTATTTTTTCTCACCAAAAAAAAAAAAAACGACAGGGGTAACACTGTCGTTTTTTTTTTGGGTCGAAATTTTGAGTTTCTCCAATCTTCTTTAAACTCTGGATTCTGATAAAGGGCCATGGGACTTAGACCTGAGAGCAAAAGTGGAGGCTCTAGACCCTTCCAGAGTTGAGATATTGAGATTTTTATAAGGGCATAAATGCTACGTGGGATCTCAATATCTCAACTCTGGAAGGGTCTAGAGCCTCCATTTTTGCACTCAGGTCTAAGTCCCATGGCCCTCTATCAGAATCCAGAGTTTGAAGAAGATTGGAGAAACTCATTTTTTCTCACCAAAAAAAAAAAAAAACGACAGGGGTAACACTGTCGTTTTTTTTTTTGGGTCGAAATTTTGAGTTTCTCCAATCTTCTTTAAACTCTGGATTCTGATAAAGGGCCATGGGACTTAGACCTGAGAGCAAAAGTGGAGGCTCTAGACCCTTCCAGAGTTGAGATATTGAGATTTTTATAAGGGCATAAATGCTACGTGGGATCTCAATATCTCAACTCTGGAAGGGTCTAGAGCCTCCATTTTTGCACTCAGGTCTAAGTCCCATGGCCCTCTATCAGAATCCAGACTTTTAAGAAGATTGGAGGAACTCATTTTTTCACACCAAAAAAAAAAAAAACCCCGACAGGGGTAACACTGTCGGTTTTTTATTTGGGTCGAAATATTGGGATTTCAATATCTCAGCTCTGGAAGGGTCTAGAGCCTCCATTTTTGCACTCAGGTCTAAGTCCCATGACCCTCTATCAGAATCCAGAGTTTCAAGAAGATTGAGGAAACTTAATTTTTCGCCCAATCCCCCCCCCCCCCCCCCCCCCCCCCCCGAAAAAAACGTAAGGGGTACCACTGTCGTTTTTTTTTTTGTGTCGAAATTTTGAGTTTCGATATCTCAGCTCTGGAAGGGTCTAGAGCCTCCATTTTTGCATTTAGGTCTAAGTCTCATGGCCCTCTATCAGAATCCTGAGTTTTGAGAAGATTGGGGATACTTAATTTTTCGCCCCCCCAAAAAAATCTTAAGGGGTACCACTGTCGTTTTTTTTTCGGGTCGAAATTTTGAGTTTCGACATCTCAGCTCTGGAAGGGTCTAGAGCCTCCATTTTTGCACTCAGGTTTAAGTCTCATGGCCCTCTATCATAATCCAGAGTTTTTGAGAAGATTGGGGAAACTTAATTTTTCGCCCCCCCAAAAAAAACGTAAGGGGTACCACTGTCGTTTTTTTTTTTGGGGTTGAAATTTTGAGTTTCGACATCTCAGCTCTGGAAGGGTCTAGAGCCTCCATTATTGCGCTCAGGTTTAAGTCTCATGGCCCTCTATCAGAATCCAGAGTTTTGAGAAGATTGGAGAAACTTTTTTTTTCACCCAAAAAAAAAAAACGTAAGGGGTACCACTGTCGTTTTTTTTTCTGGTCGAAATTTTGAGTTTCGATATCTCAGCTCTGGAAGGGTCTAGAGCCTCCATTTTTGCACTCAGGTCTAAGTCTCATGGCCCTCTCTCAGACTCCAGAATTTTGAGAAGATTGGAGAAACTTCATTTTTCGCCCCAAAAAAAAAAAACATAAGGGGTACCTCTGTCGTTTTTTTTCGGGTTGAAATTTTGAGTTTCGACATCTCAGCTCTGGAAGGGTCTAGAGCCTCCATTTTTGCACTCAGGTCTAAGTCTCATGGCCCTCTATCAGAATCCAGAGTTTTGAGAAGATTGGGGAAACTTCATTTTTCGCCTGAAAAAAAACGTAAGGGTCATGGCCCTCCATTACACTGTCGTTTCTTTTTCGGGTCGAAATTTTTAGTTTCAATATCTCAGCTCTGGAAGGGTCTAGAGCCTCCATTTTTGCACTCAGGTCTAAGTCTCATGGCCCTCTATCAGAATCCAGAGTTTTGAGAAGATTGGGGAAACTTCATTTTTCGCCTGAAAAAAAACGTAAGGGTCATGGCCCTCCATTACACTGTCGTTTCTTTTTCGGGTCGAAATTTTTAGTTTCAATATCTCAGCTCTGGAAGGGTCTAGAGCCTCCATTTTTGCACTCAGGTCTAAGTCTCATGGCCCTCTATCAGAATCCAGAGTTTTGAGAAGATTGGAGAAACTTAATTTTTCGCCCCCCCCAAAAAAACTTAAGGGGTACCACTGTCGTTTTTTTTTCGGGTCGAAATTTTGAGTTTCGACATCTCAGCTCTGGAAGGGTCTAGAGCCTCCATTTTTGCACTCAGGTTTAAGTCTCATGGCCCTCTATCAGAATCCAGAGTTTTTGAGAAGATTGGGGAAACTTAATTTTTCGCCCCCCCAAAAAAAACGTAAGGGTACCACTGTCGTTTTTTTTTTGGGGTTGAAATTTTGAGTTTCGACATCTCAGCTCTGGAAGGGTCTAGAGCCTCCATTTTTGCGCTCAGGTTTAAGTCTCGCGGCCCTCTATCAGAATCCAGAGTTTTGAGAAGATTGGAGAAACTTTTTTTTTCGCCCAAAAAAAAAAAAACGTAAGGGGTACCACTGTCGTTTTTTTTTTCTGGTCGAAATTTTGAGTTTCGATATCTCAGCTCTGGAAGGGTCTAGAGCCTCCATTTTTGCACTCAGGTCTAAGTCTCATGGCCCTCTATCAGAATCCAGAGTTTTGAGAAGATTGGGGATACTTAATTTTTCGCCCCCCCAAAAAAAAACGTAAGGGGTACCACTGTCGTTTTTTTTTTCGGGTCGAAAATTTGAGTTTCGATATCTCAGCTCTGGAAGGGTCTAGAGCCTCCATTTTTGCACTCAGGTCTAAGTCTCATGGCCCTCTATCAGAATCCAGAGTTTTGAGAAGATTGGAGAAACTTCATTTTTCGCCCCAAAAAAAAAAAACATAAGGGGTACCTCTGTCGTTTTTTTTCGGGTTGAAATTTTGAGTTTCGACATCTCAGCTCTGGAAGGGTCTAGAGCCTCCATTTTTGCACTCAGGTCTAAGTCTCATGGCCCTCTATCAGAATCCAGAGTTTTGAGAAGATTGGGGAAACTTCATTTTTCGCCTGAAAAAAAACGTAAGGGTCATGGCCCTCCATTACACTGTCGTTTCTTTTTCGGGTCGAAATTTTTAGTTTCAATATCTCAGCTCTGGAAGGGTCTAGAGCCTCCATTTTTGCACTCAGGTCTAAGTCTCATGGCCCTCTATCAGAATCCAGAGTTTTGAGAAGATTGGAGAAACTTCATTTTTCGCCCAAAAAAAAAACGAAAGGGGTACCACTGTCATTTCTTTTTCGGTTCGAAATTTTGAGTTTCGATATCTCAGTTCTGGAAGGGTCTAGAGCCTCCATTTTTGCACTCAGGTCTAAGTCTCATGGCCCTCTATCAGAATCCAGAGTTTTGAGAAGATTGGGGAAACTTCATTTTTCGCCTGAAAAAAAACGTAAGGGTCATGGCCCTCCATTACACTGTCGTTTCTTTTTCGGGTCGAAATTTTTAGTTTCGATATCTCAGCTCTGGAAGGGTCTAGAGCCTCCATTTTTGCACTCAGGTCTAAGTCTCATGGCCCTCTATCAGAATCCAGAGTTTTGAGAAGATTGGAGAAACTTCATTTTTCGCCCAAAAAAAA